ACATGTTTTCTGACATGAAATGCATAGAACCTGTATCAAACTACTCTGATAGCAAATTGAAAACATTTTAGAATACTATAAATGTCAAGTTTAATAGTTAAGCACTCCATCTTTCAATTTGATATAAAGAATCCAATCATTCCATTGTTTCTAGTCCATATCTTACTGTATGCCGATTTATCTTTATCATGAAAACCAAGTATAAGATTTTAAAAACGTGGTGCGGAGCTTTATGACCAAAAAGGGGACATACAAAAAATAGTCAATCCGAGTATGGTCAACTTTGCCTGATGGAGTTAGAACCTTAATGTCTTGATAATTTCCAAATTAATGAATGGAGAATTTCAGAAAGGATATGTTATAAATCGTGTCAGTATCCAGGCATAAAGTTAACCAGCAAAGATATATACCAAGTGCTAGTAAATGTAAGAAAAACACTTATAAATTGCTGCGTCCGATGCGCTTTTCTTGATGTCCCATCAATAGGAACGCTTTAAAAGAGAGAAAAACGATACCAAAGAGATAACCTAACTCACAAGGCAAAAAGGAACTGACAATGCTATGGCGAAAAAGCCGAAAAACGACCAAAACTATAACATAGAAAACGAAAGACTGAGCATCATGACCTTCAACAAAAACTGGGAATGATTGCAGGTGCTCCCGAAGGGTTAACAGATCCTGCTCTTCTTCTGGCATTAGTAAGAAACAAATTTGAATGTTTAGAATGTTTGTGTACTTGATATTTGAGAACTATATGACGAAAAGGGGACCTTAAAAAAAGCAAATTCCATAGAAGGTCAACTTTGCCTAAGGAAGTTAGATCTTTTGTTTCTAACGTCCATATTGGATGTGTTTGTACTAGACATCGTCTGTATTTTAAAGATGTTGATATTTATAATTAGTGTACCTGTCTTTGTTTTTGCTACGATAACTTTGCTTAAAAGAATTTATGATTCAGCATAAATTCGGTTATTAGTGTAAGCTATTTGTGTCATTGGCCGTTCCACTTTTTGTCTAATGTGGGTTATCTGATTGATCACGCGCAGTATGACTGCGCATGCGATCGTTTCAATACCTACATTCGACGGAAGCAGACGGATATATTTTAGTGATTTAAAAAAACCACCACTATTTCTTCACAACATCGTCTTAATATCTAAATGTATGTTGTATTTGATGATAATACATATTATATATAAAGGTTGAGACTGAACACGAATGCGGCCACTTTCATTTTTGACAAAAACCAACTGAAAAGTGACATTTTAGGACATATTTGATGAATTTTTCATATCTAAGCTTGAATTGGAGCGTCATTAATGACCAAATCAGTTCAAATCTTTCACATAAACTAATTGAATCAACTGAAGTAGACACATAAGCGTTTTAAAAATATAAAAAATCTTTTATCAGATGTACCTGAAATTTTAGGCCAAAATTAGCCCTTACCGGACCTTCTCCTTTAGTAATCTGTATATTTCATTCGTATCACAAAGAACAATGCTTGCATACGCCCGTTTATATGAACATTTTGTACTGTATTTAGTAATGGGCACATTTCGCTGCGATTCTTTTGAATATGTGTTATTTTGCGTCATATTTCATTTAGCATCCGAAACATTTGCCATTGTGGGTCTCTGTATCCAAGGACCCACCACACAAAAATTTATGAATCTCTGTATCCCAGGATTCATTTTATTGGATGCTTCATTTATTGTAAATATTTAGTTATCTAGTTAGTTACCTAGTTATCTTTTTGTAGTTTGCCAATATGAAAGGTGACTACGTTCATTTAATTATCTATCTACTATATATATATATATATATATCTTAACTGTAATATCTAGTTATATGTGTTTATAATTGTGTAGTTTGTTATAAAGCTGTAGCCAAATACTGCATATACTGTGTTTCTGATCTTTGCGCATCAATATTAACTACAAACCTTACAATCATTAGGTCTTTGCACTATTCGTGGACAGGCTTTTTGGTTTTATTCTGATTATTTTTGTTTTCCTATGCCGTCTGAGATGTATTTTTGTTTCAAGACGTATTGAAAAAAAAGTAAAATATCAAAAATACTGAACTAACATGAAAATTCTAAACGAAATATAGAAAATTGTGGATTTAACCTGGATTTATAGCTAGCTAAACCTCTCACCGGTCTGAAAGTCGCATAAAATTCCATCATATTGACAACAATGTTTGAACAAAACAACAGAGATAATAGGTAAAAATCGTAATTAAGATGACAAACAACGTCAGTACCTAGAATTTATACTTCAAGACCGTCATGTATTAATTGTGAAGTTGATACAGAATATTTACCAACAAGGTCTTGGTATCTTTCGATTAACTTTCTCAGAAAAAGGACGAGACATAACCCTGGTTCATCAACTTTCTGCTCAGACACTGGTGACGTTTTATAAAGTTAGTAGCATCTTCAAGCTCTTGAATACCGAATGAGTTGGGAAATTTATATCGCATATGCAGGTGAAGTTGGTATATTGCTGCTAAAGTGGGGGAAATTGATAATTTCAAAATTAAAATCGTTTCGTACTGAGATGACCGCTTCTGTTAAATTCGATGTTTAAGCCTAAAATGAGGCGGAGGAAGCCGTGTCTGTTGTTTCTGTAATTCCTAGTTCTTGAGGATATATTGATGGAACCCAATCAGAAAAGTTTGGATTGTTAAAGGAAAGATTTGAAATGATTTTTGGCCCATGATATCGTACACAGGTTACGGTTTCACCATTGACCTTGCAGTGATCGTAAAGGATATCGACATTTTTTTGTTCCAAATTGTTTGTTTAATCTTAAGAATGCTTTGGTCAAGTTTGATTGAAGTGATCCAATGACATCTTATGGGAGTTATTTTCCTTTTCAAATTAAACATAAGTAATGTGTTGAATTAAATCGTATACCATAAGTCATATAGACCTAAAGTCTTCATGTAGTCATTGGTCCATTTGAAGGAACATGAGATCAAATTCAAAGATCAAAGGTCATGTTCTTATTTTTGAACTTAACTTACTCTCTTTATTCCACAGAAACTGTAATAGTTAATAACAAAGGGCTTTTGCCAGACAATTGGTTACACCATGGTACAACTTTGATGCATAGAGTTGACTTGTTTCGATGACCTTTGTTAGAAGTTTTCTCCTCCTATATATTTGAAATCAAAATAACTCCTCAACCATACATGTGAAAGACCTTTGGTCATTTGATTAAATATCCATCACCTATGACCTTGAAATTGAGGTCAAGGTAAAGGTCAATTTAACGTTCTAGATTTTGACCTTTGCTATTTTTCCATACTGGTCCATGATAACACCAATAGATCTTTTGCATTAGGTTGGAAGGCATATGACCATAAAAGAGGTCAACCGGAATTGACACTATTTGAATTAAATTTTAATTTAATGTAAAAGTGATAAGAAATCATCGATTTAATAATCAGTGAAAAGATGTTAGCTATCATATGACACCGGAAGTGGCATTTTGTGGACCGAACATATCCAATTATCTACATTATTTCAACGGGAAATACATAGGAAACATATTTTTTTAATCAGTGAAAAGTTACATATACCAGTTGATACCCAAAGTGAATATTTGAAACTGATAGTCTACTTGATTTCAAATAAAAGAACTACAAATTATTTGCTTTTGGAATCTGTGAAGGATAAATGATCTTTTAACACCGTTGTTTACGCTTTTTTGAACAAAGGTTACTTTATTAAAGTTCATTTAAACCTTTGTAATGAAGGAGGGACGAAAGATACCAGAGGGACAGTCAAACTCATAGATTGAAAACAAACTGACAACGCCATGGCCAAAAATAAAAAGACAAACAGACAAATAATAGTACGGATGACACAACATAGAAAACTAAAGACTAATCAACACGAACCCCACCAAAAACTGGGGGTGATCTCAGGTGCTCCGGAAGGGTAAGCAGATCCTGCTCCACATGTGGCACCCGTCGTGTTGCTTATGTTATTACAAATCCGGTAAATAGTCTAATTCGGTAAGTCACATTCGTGAAAAGGGAAGGGTATTGTAGTTACGACATAAGGAACATATCCGATATCATCTATGAAACGGTTATTCCATAACGGTCAACCAACTCGTGATGGCGTCCGTAAAATTTACGAAGGGATGATTTCAACTTCACCATTTGGAACTCTTGGTTTAATAGCTTCCTTGTGACCTGTAATCAACAGGTGAGGTGGACAGACTTTCATTTGTTTTATGAAGAATTTTTTTTTTTCCTTATCAATTGTTCATAAAATTCCCCTTTTTCTTACTACACTATTACTTTTTAAATCTTTTTTTTGGGTCTATATTGAAAGTGCTTCATATTCGTATTTTATTTGGCCTTCCTACTGTGTTGTTACCAGCGCCACTGATGAGTCTTATGTAGAAGAAAGCACGTCTGACGAACCAAATTATAAGCTTGGTATCTGATGAGTTTTTTCTGTAATAGAATGAACTTTTGATAATGTTTACTCTGGATTCATTTATTTCGTGTGATACTTGTTTTCGTGGATTTCGTTGGAATAGGAAAACAACGATTTTTTAATGTTCACCCAAGTACACATTATCTAAAGTAAAGTAAAGTAAAGTAAGGAAAACCACAAGATTAAATATTCACCAAAACACAAGTTTTTCTTATCAACGTACATTCAATGAATCCACGTACTTTCTTTAAAATATTGTTGTTTCTTCTGAACAAGTTTGCCCTTAAAGTCTAATGATTTTTAGAAACTTCTTTCAAAACCCCTTAATATTTGTTACTTGATACCCTTCTTTTGATGTTACACAAATTTTTGGTGCATTCATAATTATTGTTTTTAATTTATTTGGTTTAAAAATTTACTATACTGGTTTCTCAAATTATCTAAAACACTTTTTAAGATTGCTCAAAAATATACGGAAGGATAAACTTTACATCCATGCATCAAGAAGTTGGAATATCTAAGAGCATAATTCATTAAGTTTCATTTAAATGTTTTATTACATTGGTTTCAATTTAAACTATCCAGCTATTACTCAACATAGTCCACATCTTTTTCGACAATGAGTGTTTGCATATTCCAAGGTATAGCATACTTCTAGGCGGGTAAATGAGCGGCAATTATCAAAACTATCAGAGCAATCTGAAAAAAAAACATTATTAAATATTTGTCTAAATCTTCATTAATTCTAATATTTTATATTTTTATTATATATTTTGACATCGTTACAACCCTATATGAAGCCGACCAGGAAAGTCATTACATCGACCACTGAAAGCTATATGTCTATGTAGCCTAGGTGGTCGAGTAGTCTAGGGAGCTGGACACGGTGCTGGCGGTGTTGCCATGATGTCACAGAAGCAAGGGTTCGAATCCCGCAGGGGGTAGAACAAAAATTTGCTAACGCAAATTTGAAGATCTAACATTGTTGGGCTAAATTTGAGACGAATTATATATATATTATGGTGTTAGCCTTGTATAACCACGTGTTATCCGATGGAGAATGTCTTTCATAAAGTTGTCATATATATATAAATATATGTTACAGTATCAATTGGAATTCAGTAGGATTCAGAATCCCCCTAGTACAGATTGGAATTTCAATATCTACTAGTAGAAATAGGAATTATGATTTATTTATAATTAAAATCTTCTATTTGTGGAAAGAAGAATGTGTCAAATGCACCAAAAATATCGCCATTTTGTTAAAAAATTCTGAATCTTTTCATTCTCTCGCAAAATCGGATCTGATCTTGCATTTATGACCTCTGTTATTAACAAGTAAGACTGCATTGAAGAGAGACATATCATTTGATTTTAAAATTAATATTTTTTTGCACTCTTTCGAAGGAAGATTTATGGGCTAAAGAAGAATGAAATTACTTTTTCCGAAATTGGTATGTATTTTAAAAACGAGGCCGGCACAAAATAAAAAGGATTTGTATGATGATAATAGTAGTATGCCATATTGACGCATTGCGTTCTTTAATCCAAACAATACAAGAAAACGGTAACTATAACTGACGGTAAACGGTCCTAGACATTTTGAAAATATATTTTTCTCATTTTAATGTATTTCACTTAGCTCTTTTCTGTTAACATTTAGAGATAATCTGGGGTTAAGGTACTTGCAAATATAACTATTTTTTTATAAGAAACCTTCATAGAATTTTATGAAACGTTGACAGCTTTAGACTTTTACAAGAATGAGAGACAAACTCTGAAGCAATATTTTGATTTGTTTGTTTTCATGTTTAAGTACTTTCCTGATGAATGGAACATTTTTGCAGTTCACAATTACACAGTCTGGCAATTCTTTTTTTTTTTTAGAAATCGAGAACTTTTTTCAATCTTTAAAACCTTTATGGAATTTAAAAAACTTGGAAATTTTTTTTTCTCAAGATGTAGTAGTAGCATTTGAAAAAAAAAATACGTTTACACTGACAGCAGCAATCGCAGGAGAGACACAGCGTTTCGTGGAAACCTTTCTCTGGATCTATTATAGTTTACAAAATAAAGTGAAAAAACCAAAAAGATTAAAATCGTGATTTAACATAAAAATAAGAAGATGTGGTATGATTGCCAATGAGACAACTTTTCACAAGAGACCAATTGATACATTAATTAACAACTTTAGGTCACCGTACGGCCTTCAACAATGGGTAAAACCCATACTGCATAGGCCAATAACCGCGAAAAGGAGTCCACCGATTAATTCGGCCATTGATTTTTGTATATATCTTGTCTGGTTGATAATTTTTAAAATTCAAGTTCCTCTATATCCATTACACTTTTCAAAACAATTGGCAAAATTAAAAATAAATACATTGGTAAACATCGTAATTGAAGGGCAACAGCTGTAATGAGAAGTCGTAAGACATATAGTACATTTTGACATTCTGAACATTTTTGTCCCCATTAGATTTTCTTTTTTATAACTTATTTTCACGGATAAAAGACAATACTTACATTTTCCACTATGTTTTATTTTAAGAAATGTCAGCCATATTAGTTTTTAGACAGGATCATCGGACATACTCGTTGGACTAGATACTTAAATGATGAATGTGGAAAATTTTAGTTCCAACTTGCTGCCAAGTTATTTCAGAGGAGAACATTTTTGTAAGAATTTACTAACGATGGACGACAACAGACGACAGTTTGATAACATCAGCTCGCACTGGGCCTTTGGCTCAGGTGAAGTAAAAATGAAAGTATAATAAAAATTATTGATATGACATGGACTTGATATGCGCACAGAAACAACGGCACAAACTTAAAACAAAGCGGGAAAACATGTTAAAAAACTATACCTGGCCTTGACTGCTCTCTGGGTTCTTGTATTGTTTGATCTACAAAAAATAAATAAAATTAATTAACGTTATGTTCTCCCTTCCATCTTTGGTTCGTCTACAATAGATAATTCCAGACTTTCATTATTTTCTTTTCAATTTATGAGAATGAATTATAGATTATTAGAATATTTAAAAGTAACATAACAAAAATACCGAACTCCAAGGAAAATTCAAAACGGAAAGTCCTTTATCAAATGTCAACATCAAAAACTCAAACACATCAAACGAATGGGAAAACAACTGTCATATTCCTGACTAGGTACACCACTTCCTTATGTAGAAAATGGTGGATTGAACCTGGTTCAATAGCTAGCTAAACATCTTACTTGTATGACAGTCGCATAAAATTCCATTATATTGACAACAATGTCTGAACAAAACAAACAGATTTAATAGGTAAAAATGTCAAAAAAGGGGTACAGCAGTCAACATTGTGTTATAATCTTAATCACCATAAAACAAAGAAATATGTCAAAATAGAAAAACCAATTGGCATATAGACAAAGCACATAAGCAAAAATGAAAGACAAGAATACAAATATTTACCATAGCACAATAACACAATGACGGGATGTATAAGTACCGAGCCACACCAAAGGGATATTACCAAAAATGGACTAAACAGTAAAGGTAATAATTTATAAAGACAAATAAAAGAACACCATAACACGTAATTAAGATGATAAACTATGTCAGTAGCTAGAATCTTTACTTCAAGACCATCATATATTATTTGTGAAATTGATACGGAATATTTACCAACAAGGTCTTGGTATCTTCCGATGAACTTTTTTGAAAAAGGACGAGACATTCTTTGACATAACCCTTGTTCATCAACTTTCTGCTCAGACACTGGTGACGTTTTATAAAGTCTGAGTAGCAGGGACATTATCTCTATAAGCTGAATGTCTAACGTTGGTATGTGTGTGACTAATTTTGAATTTATTTGACATACCATTGTCAAATTACAAGTATTACACTTTTTGTAGATTTCTGCTCTTTACACACATGCAATCATACGTTATGGTTAAAAGACAAACATGATAACAGGAATAACAACAACAAAAAACACTTCAAAAGAGCAAACCAACCACCACAACCCGACCCCTCCGACAAAAATGCAGACGATGAAGGAAAGACAAACACCAACGGAGAACACATGGTTTAGATAGTGTTACTTAGTGCAGGCACAACACATGAAATGGTTATACATGGGTACAAATCTCCACCTTGCATATGGTTAGAAAGCTTATATACCATTCACAACAAGTTTTAAACACAAATGCATCCTCCGTCTTTTGTACTTTAATTCAATAATCAAAAAGAGAGTATTTTGTAAGAAATATGCATTTTGAAAATGTTTTATTTTTCTTTTACATCAATGAATGAAAAGGGAAGGTTTAAAGAATTATAACAAAGGTCGTATCATGTCTTCTTTATTCCATCGTGTATGAGGTGTGCCTGTTAATACACAAGAACACTCGGGACATTTTACTGAACATCTGAACATGTTGACTCATTTTATATGTTTATCACTTCCCATCAAAAGTGGTACAATGGTACACACAAGCGGGGAATCAGTAATACATTTCATCTGATCAATGAAAGATATTATAAGTAATCTATATAAGAAGCCGTTTTATAAAAATCCTTCATAAGTTACTGACATACAAAAAGTGACATATTTATAAAAACAATTTCTTTAAAAAAAATCCGTATAGAAAGATAAACTTTACATGTAGACTAATAGGAAATCATTTGGACTAATGAATTCATAACAGAAAACAAATAGTCAAGATCACTACGTCCCGCTAAATGATGTCGTACCAGAGGGTAATATTAACCAAACGCAGAAAAAAAGAAAAAAAAAAACAACAATATCACTAGCCATTAAAGATTTTCTGAAAAATACTTCCACGGCCTTTGGTCTATAATAGAGATTTGTCTCATTGGCAATCATACCACATCTCCCTTTCTTAAATTATATTAGAAGCTTTCACAAATTGACATCATGCTTCAATAGGCCGAATTCACCTGCAACCTTCCAAAATTGTCAAATAAAAATTATTGCATAGAATAGTAAGCAATCCTATAAAGTCTTTAATCATTCGATTAAACGCTTTCAAATGAGTAGGGTTTAAAATGGTAAAGATAAAATTCCCCAAATCTCCAGCAAAGTTGTCAAATTATTTGTAGTTTAGCGAAAGATATTGGAAACAATACTCGATGAAAAATATTCCCACTGAATATTGACACTTAATAGAGGATCGTTACATATAAAAGGTAGATTGAGTAACGGACGTATAAATAGAGACCGACAGACAGATAAGTAGTTTCGCCCCTCTTTACAGCCTTGTGAATGACAACAAAAATGAACTTCATTGTCACGATTGCTTTTCTATTGATTCTTTTGGAGAATGTCCCAACCGTAAGTCCATTTTTTCATAACGAAAAGTGTTTCTAGTTGATGCGTGTATATATATATAAGTGCCTATAAATAGCAACACATAACATACAAATCTATTTGAGTGTGGATTAATTAGTACAAAGATTAATACAATTACACAAATGAAATTATAAATTGCCTAACAATGTAATTTTAACACACTATTTAGTATGTAAATATTAAAATGTTAAAAATATTTACAATGAGATAAGAAATAAACGCAATATTTCGCTAAACAAACTAGCTTCATCGAGCGTGCATCTATCGATGCAGATAAGAAACTTTTGCAGCTCATTGTACATGAATTTTGCTGCCTTGTAATTAATTCAAAGTTTGGATGAAGTTCAAGATTATCTAATTACGAAATTTGTGGTTGAAGTTTGTTGGTTTTGTACCATGATCCTCACCACCAGTCATTGCCTTCAGAAGACATAAAAACATCCGATTTCACCTGGGTAGATGCACGCTCGATGAAGCTAGTTTGTCTAGCGAAATATTGCGTTTATGTTTTATCGCATTGTAAATACTTTTAACATTTTAATATTTACATACTAAATAGTGTGTTAAATTACATTTTTAGGCAATTTACATATATATATATATATAAGTACTTCTGAACCAGTGACAACTCTACAACAGATTTATCCATCGGATCACCAGCAGTGATAGTGATACATTGCTGTGTACATTCTGTATATACAACTCGTCTAAACATCAGCCCAACAATGTTAGATCTGTAAATTTGCTTTCGCAAATTTTTTGTTCTTCCCTCGCCGGGATTCGAACTCGTGCTACTGAGATATCGTGACACCAAATGCTACGTATCCAACGCAATCATAGGTTTGAACGTTGTTTTCAATTTAGACTTGTATAATATATATATGAATGCATTTTTCTCATGCACAGAATAATATATATAAGAGAAAAATAAATTAGACAAAAGGAGTGTTTTTTATCTAGCGCTTTCATCCTTCTGTAAGGACTTGTCAAGATTCTGGCAACGTTGCTGAGGGAAACGTTGCCGTAGAAGAGACTTTGATATTACGTAATTGTCGTTAATTTCTATAACTCTCGCATTAAGCGTTTGTTTGGTTTTAATATATTATAAAATATTGTTCCATTTCATGTCGGTATATTTCGCACCCCTATTCTACTTTAAAAGGCTCTGAACACTTTAAGTTCACGTGAATATATATATATATATATATATATATATATATATATGTATAATAAATTTATGATTAAGATCCATTTATTACATCGGTGATCCGTTTATTTGGCAATCGCCAATGGCAGTCAGCAGGGTTTAAGAACATTTGTTGTTCGACCTGTTAGTCAAATGCATTTTGTTAAAATATACTGTTTCACTTTTTTGGTCTTTTGGAAAATGTTGTTTGTGCTGTATTTAGACCCCTCTAACAAGACATTTGTTTTGCATGCACACGTATAAAAATTGCGGTTTTTATCCAACGCAATCATAGGTTTGAACGTTGTTTTCAATTTAGACTTGTATAATATATATATGAATGAATTTTTCTCATGCACAGAATAATATATATAAGAGAAAAATAAATTAGACAAAACGAGTGTTCTTTTATCTAGAGCTTTCATCCTTCTGTAAGAACTTGTAAAGAATCTAGTATAGTGTTGACCTGCGATAAACATGGTCACATGAACATTAAACGTATTTTTGAAATAAAATATAAAATTATTTTGATTGAATAAATATTGAAATCTATAGAATAGACTGAGACTTTAATCTTTCAAATTGATTAAAATTCATGGAAAATTACTGCAAGTTGTTAATTACCGTGTTATAATATGATTTGTTGGTGATTACAAATCAATAGGATTAAGTACAGGACGTTGCCATTAAGTAATATTGTTTTTGACAGGAACATTAAATGTCATACCTTTATTTTGGGAAATGGTATTGCAAAAAAGCTTCTTAAACTGAGTTTTACTGTGCGTATTGCTTTGTGTTTGTTTATTCCACGTTGTCTAGCAGTATAGGGAAGATTGACATCTTACAAAACCTGTTTAACCCAGCCGCATTTTTGCGTATGTCCCAAGTCAGGAACTTCCAGCTTTTGTTAGTCTTGTATGTTTTATAATTTTGGTTAATTTATATGTTTCGGAGTTTAGTGTGGCGTCCAGTTCAATGAATTAATATACATTATTGTTTATTGGTAATTTTTATCATATTAACAAACCTGAGGAAGTCTGAAAATGTTATTTTTTTACCCGAGTTTAGTTGTCTACACTAGTAACAAATTTTGACCTGAAACGATCTTTTTGATTTTAGCATCTCGTCAGACATTTCGCTTGCAGTCACTTAAGATTTGTTTAGTCTATGTTCAGACTGTTCAGTAGTTGTTATTTACCTGTGCACATCAACATCATACTGAATTGTATGAAAAGCTACTTCACAATACTGAATTGACTGCAAGCAAATTGTCTGAACTGTACTGAATTTACTACAGTTAATATGTCTAAAAAGAAGCAATTGCCGAACACGCATTTGTTTTTCTTGGAATCTGAAGATTAATATGAACATTAATTACTGTTACCACTCTTCATTAGTCGATGCGCTCTAAAAGAGTTTATGTTCTGCAAATACTTACGTGGGCATTCACCATTATAACAGTCCTTTATTTGTCGACTACCAACCCTGCATCTAAAAGTAGTTCTAGTGCATGTCCTTGAACTAGTTCCATAACCACAAGTAACAGAACATGTTGACCATTCTGACCATTCTCTCCAGTATTCCATCCCTGCATGTTCAAATCATATATAGCTTATTTAGGAATTTAGGTAATGCAAATTAACTGTTAAATAAGTGTTATTACAATTAACATCTGAGTTGTATTTTTTCTAAGAGAAATTGACTAACCTATTTCTGTTATTTGTAAGTGTTTTCCTTATTCATTATATGCATTAAACTATACTTAGTTTTTCATACAACATTTATGATATGTCCTTAAAATATAGGTAAAAAGTGTAAGTATAGAAAAGGTTGATTTTCTATTGACAGATACATGTGTTGATATGAATAAATGCTGATGTGTCGAATACGTCATGAGACAGCAACCCAAACGACAAAAGTAACCTAGGATATATTGAGGGTTGGATAACACATTGTCTTCATAAAAATATAATGAGTTTTCTACAATTTGTCAAGTTCTATTTCGCACTGAGTCCATTCGAGTTGTAAATAAATCTTAAATTGAACAGAAACAATCAACGATCTGCTATCAGCACCAAGTTCTTAATTTGTTCTGGCGTAAGACAACCACGGACCAGGCTCTAGACACGGTACATGCACGTAAATATATTGCAAGATTAAATTAGTCATGTGAGCTTCTTATCCTCTCCCTTTTTCAATTACTTTTAGAAATTGCGAACAATTTTTCACATTTCAATCGATATAGATCATGTATATATTGTTGTTTTATATTCTATTCTTTTGCAGAAACGGAACAATTTGTCTTTCAATGATGGAAACAATACAAGCGGCGAGCTGTGTTTTTTTTCTCTACTGATATTAATGTTATGTTCTTTTATGTAACCTTTGGTTAAAGAATAAACTGCATTTGATTTAAAAGAAGAAAGGGTAATATCTTGAATACATAGTTTAACACCGCAACATGCGCAGATGCTTGTCCGAAATCAGGTACCTAGTGTGCCTTTAGCTATAATTGAGTTTTCGACCTTATGGGAAATTGGTTTTTATGAAAAATCTTTGATATACATCATTTTATCTTTTTTTTACTTTTTGTAGACTCTGGGCGTTTCTGAGTTCGATATTTTACTGAAATTCGTTTATTTCTGATGACTGTACATGTTGGTTGGCCTTAATATATTTTTAAGCTACATGTGACATCTCCTTTTATTCATACACGTTATAAGGCAAGTGTGCATATACAATACTATGATACATTTATGGTATTACTATTTCCTAAGATTAATTTTTCTGGGACATTCATGTCCAATAAAGAAAACTGTATTTAAAAGACAGTGAATATTTGTTTTTAAATGTTCATTTTCAAAATCTTCATGCAAGGTTTTCTTCAGTCATGTTAATATTCTGCAGAGAAATTCAGAATGAAAACTTAAATGATCAGCCTTTTCACTCTACGCTTTCCGCATAAAGGAGCGTTTTGTTTTGTCTCGTGGTAGTGGTAAGATTAAACAATGCAATTAGAAATAATATTATTACCTTAGTATTTCAACTGTTTAAATAAGTCAGCAATGAACAATTACTTTTGTATTTATTTCAATTTGGAAGGAATATTTCTATATTGTAACAACAAGTAAGACAATTGTAAAAAACATACTTTATTTTCTTTATAAACTATTAAACTTCTATTATATCCTTTAATTCTAGAATTCAAAATATGTTTAGATATTACAACTAAGCTACTGCTTTCATCTTTAGAAATGGTAATGAATTCAACAGTTTGAGGCGGATTTTGTATGACAAGAGAAATACGAATACAAAAAAACCCTATCAATTCATTCAGACGACACAACGCTTTACTGTATTACAATTCCGTGAATATAACTTACATTTCCAGCAATATAGAAATTCGTTACGTACAAATAAACATTTAACTACATATTAATACATCACTGGAATGAATACATATCTAAAATGTTACTTAATACGAAACTATGACACATTTATAAAGTTTATACCTTGCACTGTCCGAGCTGTGGGTGTCGGTGTTGTATGATCTACAAAAATGTAAACAAATAAATCAAATATCTGAAATACTGTAAGTTAAATTCTTATAATCTTTAAGTTGAGTTTTATAGTTCATTGTTCATCTACCCCAAGATAGTAATACATTTGAATTGCTTGTCATTTTATTTTATCAGTTGTCTGAGTGTTCTATTGATTATAAAAATACCACACATATATGGTTATATATCTTTTCACGTATTTATTCGTACTCATACAATGCTGACTTTCAAGGTTTTGAATCGGATATTTCAAAATGACGTTAAATCAAAAACGGAGCTTAGGATGCACAAAATTAATCAATTGTTATCGTGGTATCTTTACAAACCTGAAGAAGTGCCTGAGTGCGAACTTTTCTTGGTTATATTAATTTAAAGATTTGATCAAGAACACTTCAGTATATTCGACTGATTCGAGTACAATCCAGATTGGTCACCTCCGTTTAGATAAGAGGAATGTGCTTATGAGAACTCACCTCCGTTTAGATTAGAGGTAAATGCTTATGAGAACTGTTATTTCAAAATTGAACAAAAGAGTGTCAAAGCAACAGCAAAACCGTGTTTTTTGTAATACGTATTACTGTTACTCGTAAAGTAATACCATGAACAGCATAAACGGAAAATGTGAAAAAAAAAATCAACCACTATTTTGCCATCAAAAATTAACCTATTTAAATTTGAAAAAAAAAATGTTTAACAGTAAAAGTAATCCCACGGAAACGTCAAACAATGATGTGTTTCATTCGATCAAGGCAAAAATGAAAATCGTCAACATCGATTTATCCTCAGAGGTGTACATCCTTAATTTAAGAAAATAATAATACACAGCTAAAATAGTTTGATATATATCAGAATATGATTGCAAGACAAAGGTTGCTTGGATTGAAAGTACATATTTTGAATTCGTACAACCTATGGTGTCTGTTCTTTATCTTTGTTGTAATGACAATAAAGGAGTCCAGGGATTCCAGCAGTTCTCCGCCCTACTGAGCCTTTTCTTCTTATAAATTATATATTTTTCTATCAATAAGTTTTCTTTTAAAAAATATTTAGCGCTATCATATTCGTTTGTTCCAATGATAATTTGCTTCTATAAATATAGAATTTTTAACAGAATTATTAAGTTTCTTATGTCATTTTTATCGGTTTTCGTTAGAAAACCAAATGAAACCAAATCTATATGTAAAGTTAGTTCTATTTCTATCTTTTCAAATATCCAAGAGTTAAGATCTTTCCATAATTTTGACATATACGGACAAGTCCAGTATATATGTGCAATTGTTTCGATCCCCCTCCACACCCAAAACTGCACTTATTTGTATCTTTCACGTTTAATTTGAAGAGAAATTCATTCGTGCCTAAAATTCGATGCATTATTCTGTATTGAAACCACTGCAGTTTTGAGTTCTTGGTAATACAAAAGGCATTACATGGATATTTTCCAATAGTAGTTTGTATTGAGAAGATAAGGACTACTTTTTGTCACACTTTTCGTTTAAGGTTTTACTTTTTACTATTTAAAATATTATACATATCTTTTCAACCTTTCGGCGATTTAAAGAATATTTGTATAACTGAAGGCAAAACTGGGCCGTTTTCTCTCTAAATCATTGAAACCTATATTATATTCTTTTAAATACGTTTTTATTGCAGAAATTAAACCTTGATATGTAAGAAAATTAGTTTCGTTATTGTATACATTTTTAAATTTATAACAAAGTCGTGAAATTCCACATTCATCTAACAAGTCATTAATGAGCAGCCAAACTCCTTTTTTATTCCAATCTTTATTGAAAACTGATTGATACCAATCTTTATTTAAAACTGATTGATTACAAATCTTTATTGCATTATTCTTCCATACATTGCATGTGTTTATTTGAGACTTATCTTGATTATTTTAAAGATCATTCCAAGCATCAAATACTTCTTTCCAAAATGGCTTTTTAGCCTTTAAAAGGGACAAGAAAAATACTAACATTTTCTGAAAAGAGGAATAGTTTCACAAGTTTTAAATCATTTCTATAAATAATTCATATCCAGGTTAATTTAAGCATTGTATGTAGTTTTCAATGTTTATCATTTTTAGACCTCCTGTGGTTGAGTACCGCCTGATTATGGAATATACATCTCCAAGTTGATACGCTATTACAGGCTTGTATTTCCTTTTTTCTTTCATATTTTCTGAAGTCTGACATGACTTAAATATAAACTGAACCAGATTTAACCAAATTATATCTATATGTTCCACATTCAACATTCAAAAATGTTTTTCATTTTTTTTCCATTTTAATATTCAACATTCGTTTTTCAACTTTCAACATTCGTTTTCAACATTCAACATTCGTTTTCAACATTCAACATTCATTTTCAACGTTCAACATTAGTTTTCTACATTTAACATTCGTTTTTCAACATTCTGCATTCGTTTTCAACATTAAACATTCGTTTTCAACATTCAACATGTAATTTTTTTCATTTTGTTTGTTGAAAAACGAATGTAGAATATTGAAAACAATTATATAATGTTGAAAACGAATGTTGAATGATGAAAAACGAATGTTGAAAGCGAATGTTGAAAAAAATTGAATGTTGAATGTGGAATGTTGAACATTGAATCAATTTGACATCCGTTATGAATATATATAAACAAAGACAACATAATATTTCTTTTCCTTTAAAAATACATATTTTCAAAACCTAGACACGTTATTCTAACTCTAAGCCGACGAGTGGTTTCTCTAAAATCCTAAAAAGCACATTTCAATTTTTAAGTCTTTGGTTTGACACGGCTAAGGTCGACTACAAGATTTCCAAAACACAAGGCAAGCTCACTACCAAAATGAAAGTAGAACGGGCAGGATATTTCAAATATAACTCGCCTTCAGGTACTCCAAAAACGAAAAGTGCGAATGCAAATGATATAATACCTTTATCGCATTAAAACATGTATAACCGCAACAGCCAAAATCGGCAATGTTAAACTTTGCAAAACTGAGTTACACAATTAAATTTAATAAAATGAAAGAACAAGAATAAGAACATCCCATGAATAAACTTTCACGTTTAATTTGAAGAGAAATTCGTAAAATAGACTGACCTACGGTTTCTACTCTTTCAAGAAATATGCTTTTATGTTTTAATTCCCTGAAACCTTACATACTTTTGGCTTTTCTAACTTTTGGTTACTAATAATCCTTTATTACATGAATGAATAAGTGCGCTAAAAAGGCCAATCATATAACCCAAATACACAGAATCACCAATTTCATATATAAACTTCCTTTATTTAATGTAAACGCACCATTATTTATTTAGCAATTAACGAGTGGCGTCAGTTAAGTGATTATTACATTATATTTGTAATTTGTATTATATATAATATTTAAAATGGACTTTATGTCAGAACTATACACTTATTCAAGCTGATCCTTTCAAGTCGACCATTATGGTATTACGTGTACATCGTGTGCGTTTCCAAAATCCGGAGCATATCATTAACTTGTCGTCTGTCTTATAATTTTTCGTGTTTTGCTTTAGATTTCATTAGACGCAACAGTAGCTTATCAATGTTCAAATCTCATAAATTCATTACGAAAATGCAAACCAAAGAACAAAGAATTAAGGTACAAAATCTGTTAGTATCGCCTAAACTCAAAAACGAGAGATAGCGTGTGCATCGACAGGGTAAAATTCTCCAAATATGCATGCAGTTTCCGCAATGCGAATCCACACTCAGTCAAAATGTCACAATTGAAACTAGGACAGAATCGATGAATAGCAGATCGGGCGACTATTTTGTTATCTAAAGATCAAAAACCGCTAAGACATGTAGCTATTGGTTGAGACACAGACGTATCGTATCGATCAACAACTTCACGAGGGTGACCGTAATACGTATGCCCTAAAACGTTTTATACTTTTGCCTTTCCAAAGTTTTGGTTACGAATGGACCCCATGAAGGTTATTTCAGAAACACATGCTGTTCACGGACATAATATCACTTGTTTTAAATGATACATTTCGTTGGTTAATTTTCAGTTACTTTAATAATGTAGGTAGCTGTGCTAAAACTACGATTGAAAAATTCTACAAGTAAATTGACCTAAATTGGTCTTCTTTTTTAACGTGTTTATCTAATTTCTCTGGTTCTTACGTGATCTAGATGTCTCACATGTATGACCACACCCGTTATAACAACATTTCCCTTGTCCCCTACAATCCCAGTCGCTCGAACACTGTTCAACACATCTTGTTGGTAATGATGCTGGAGATGGACATCCACTAAACGTGATCCCTGCATAGATATATAAAAGAAACCATAATTGTTTATTTTTTTAAAACTGAACACTTTCCTCTAAATTTCAATTTCTAATAAATATAAGCCAACAAAAACTTTATAAAGTTTCTTATGTTTTAACATTAAAGAAAAAAGACAATATTTGTAGGGTTTAAGATACGCTTTGTTGCCATTAGAATTAAAAATATTTTCATAAATAAAATATAGTTTTATATATAATGTAAACTAGATAATGACTATTAAAAAATGAAAAAAAGGACCATGTTCTCTTAATATATACTGTCATCTGCAATATTCGTGACACTGAAAAAAGTTACTCTGTATGTTTTATATAAAATGTATGTGAAAAAAGAAATGTTTAGTAATATGAGAAATAAAAGGACGTGATGTGAATTTCATATTTTACTAGAGATATATTTGAGATGCAAGTTTTTAAATATTTAAAATAAACATATATGTGTTAAAGAGTCAATCATCAAACGAAATAAATGCAATCACCAATTTCATATATTAACTTCTTATTTTTTTAATGCAAAATACACCATTATTTATTTAACAATTTAACAATTAACGGGAGGCGTCATTTAAGTGATTATTACAGTGTATATATTATTTGTTTGAACTATTCACATTATTCTGACAGATCCTTTTAAGTCGACCATAATGGATTCAAGTATAAATCGTGTGCCTTTCCCAAATCCGGAGCGTATAACTGAGATGTTGTTGTATGTTCCAGTCTGCTTTATTTTTTTTTCGTTTGTTGGTTTAAGCCTGGTAATGAATGAACCTCATGAAGGTTATTCCAGAAACAGGTGCTGTTTGTTAACGTGTATATCTAATGCACCTGGTACTTACGTGTTCTAGATGTCTCACATGTATGACCACACCCGTTATAACAACATTTCCTTTGTCCCCTACAATTCCGGTTGCTCGAACACTGTTCAACACATCTTGTTGGTAATGATGCTGGAGATGGACATCCACTAGATGTGATCTCTGTAAAGTTATATAATAGATACTAATTTTGTTTATTTTTCTGTGTTGAATATTTTCCTCCAAATTTCAACTTCTAATAAATAAAAGTCAACAAACAGCTATAAGTTCCTTTGTTATGTCATTAAAGAAAAATGACAATATGTGTAGGGTTTAAGATACTTTTTGGAGCAATAAGAAATAAAAACATGTTCATATGATAAAATACATTTTAAGATATAATGTAAACTAGATAAGCACTATCGAAAAATGAAAAAGGTACCGTGTTCTCTATTTGTGCTATCATCTCCAATATGCATGGCACTAAAATGTGACTCTGTATGTTTAATATAAACATATGCGAAAACAAAAATTTTCAGTAGTGGTATGAGAAACATATGAGAAGTAATAAGAATATCATATCTTACTAGAGAAATGTTTTATATGCTAGTTTTTAAAGTTTTTAAAATATACATGCATATAGTTTTCTTTGCAAAATTGTTTAAATCATAATCTATTATAGAAAGTCAGAGCATGTATTGATTAATATTAATAGTAATAAAAATGAAAAACGTCAAGAGCAAACTTCATTTTCACATAAGAATTTAAATTAGCATTCATGGTACTAGATAAGGCTTCATAAATACTGTTCCAAACCTCATTTTGATTTACATGCATATGTTTGCTTACTACATTTTAACCAATTTGTTAATCTTACCTGACTGTATATCAGGCTGACAATTAGAAAGAGGACATAATTCTGTTTGAGAACTGTCCCCTGCACAATATGCTGAATTACTCTTGACGTTACATTGTCTACTTCGACTTTTAATTCCTTGACCACATGTACCTGTGCACTCTGACCATGAAAGCCAATTACCCCAACTTCCTACGCCTTAAAACAAAAACATATAATTGCAACAGTCGTCATACTATCATAGAAATTGACGACAAGAAACGATAAATCAAACGTTCGCGTTTTTATATGTTAACACAGATAAGATCTGAATAAAGCCTACCTTAAGTGGTTTCTGTTTTACTGTTTAGGCTCATTGGAATTTAATGCATTTAAATCATTTGAAATAACCACTTGTCTCTCCAAACTATTGCTATTGACTAAAGCTAAAGATTGTCCTGATATCTGTATCATACAATTGTATTACCATTATGTGGAAGCAGAAGAGTGAAGGAAAATCCTGATTGAATCCAGAAATTATTGTATTATATTCAACAATTGGTTTGGCTCTGGCTAAATTGAATTGTCTTTGGAATGAAGTTTAGTTTTCTGGTATCATACGAATTATAACATAATCATTTATCAAACACATACATGTGTGAGCTAAAGATGCCCATCATATATTCTAGATGCATGCAATCACTCATCAATTATTTAAGTTCGTTAAAAAGATATAAGAACGTGAATAAACGTCGCTAGTAAGTTTAAACCCTGACACAACGTATCAACGTGTCGGTCTACAAATTAGTGATGGTGACCGTGAAATTATCGAAAGTTATACATTATCCTAGGCCTACAATTGATACATATTTATTTGCTCCCTTGTGGATAGCTGTGTTATTGGCAATGTATCATACCTCTGAACTTTATATTCATTGTTGAAAATTTGAATATAGAACATATGATTCGCAATTAACACAAAGGAGGGAACTGAGTGTTTAGTTGCTCCTAAAACATTCATTTTAAAACATTGTCATCATATGATTGCAATTGTATTTTAGGCCTGCTTTTATTCTAACCAGTGTTATTTGCATAACCCAATGTTTGACTATTTTACTTGATTTTTATAACTAGTTGGGATTCAATTGTAAAGAGTTTTTGGTATATTTTCCAATAGTATTAATGTTTTCTCGTAACATTATAAAATAAACTGAAGAAAGCAAGCTACAGACAAAGTCATGTCATAAGTCGAAAACTGATCATCATTTTAACCAGTGGGATATTTTTAATGCACATCTTCTTGGAACAATTACTACAAGTTTTCTTAATTTTTTTAGCAAGGTTGTTATAAGCTTGCACTTGTCTATTTCGTAACATTGTATTTTGTTTGTAAGTAAATGGTTGTACATTTGAAAATATTTGGACTTGGTATTGTGACTCTTGATTTCGACTCCCTCAACTCCCTCAAGTTGACTCTGTAGTATATTGTGCATTAAAATTTGTTTCTTATATAGTGAAATATAAGTATCCTGTTGTTAAACTCATATAGAAAGATGTTTTACCTTGTTCAGCAGGTGGTAGACAATGCTGACCTTGACACGTATATCCATGAATCGATAGACCTACTGATTCTACAGTGCCGTGATCTAAAAGTGAAAAGGTTTGTTTCTTAATTGAAATTAAATAAAATGAAGAAAAATTGGCTTTACACATGAATAAAAATGCATTAACAACTTTTATACTATCTTTACAACAACACAAAATATTAAAATTAAAAGATATAAATTCCTATTTGAATCTTTTATTTTTCTTCGTTTGCCTCGCATAATGTTGGTTTAAAGTAGTATTGGTTTATAAACAAAACATAATACTAGTAGAACATTTTCATACTTTGCCAAAATGTAGTTATTTTCAAAAGACAGGATATATCACCTAGTTTGTTTCCAAGCTACATGTTGCAAAAAATTGACTTATTTTGTATGTATATTGTTTTTCAATCATTAATACTAAACGTCTGTTTTGGGTCAAAATAGTAATTAATTTCCTTCATTTAATTGAAAGTTCTCACGAATGCATTGTATTTCTTTAATTTGCGCATTTCATTAAAATATTGACCGATCAGTCTATGTTTTATTAATTAATCAAGATACCGGGAGACCCCAATGCTCTCTTTGCAAAATTTAAATTAAAAGATATTCATTCCTATTTGAATCTTTTATTTTTCTTCTTTTGCTGTCCATAATGTTGGTTTTAAAGTAGTATGGAAGTATAAATTCTTTATACAATAATTTAAATATGTATTTTGAAGTCAAAATATCACATTTATATTTTGGAACTTTTTTGCGACTGGAAAAAAAAACTTTCTTTTTTAGTTTTTGTTAAATGTTCGTAAAATTGGTAAAACAAATATCCATATTCACGAGAACGGGGGTCAACATTTTGTTTAATCCGTAAAAGTCGTAGAGTCCAAAAACAAATCGAATAAATTAACTAATGTTGTCTTTCATAACTTCGTTAGTTAAAGACAAAGTCATTGAATGCAAAAGCATTGTGATATTTCCGCTTTTGAAAATTATTGATATAAACATACCAAGAGTTTTACCAAACACAGCTGTGGGTTCAAATTTCCATAATCCATTAGGATTTTCTCCCCACAGTTGAACAGTTAAAACAGTAATGTCCATATTTGTTGTAGGATCGAGACCTCTACCGGGAAGAATTTTAGATTTTGTGCCATACGGAGATACGAGAACCCATTGAATCTGTCCTGCGTGTTGATGGTCTACTTTTAATGATATTTCAACATGTTCTATATATGTAGCAGAGCATCCAGTGACTTGAACCATAAAATAAGTGGAGTCACTGTTCAGTCTAAAATATAAACAATCGATTCATATTAATTCTAATGTATTATTTATACGTTATCATTACATGGATTTGCAGTAAATGAAATATACGTATTTGACATACTTGTAATTGTTATGAAAAAGCATGCACCAAGTTCAACATTGCTTTGATAAAACAAACATACAAATCAATGCAAATTACACAGACTGGAAACACGATTTAAGTTTAATTTCAAGTTTCTGTTGTCCTTAGTTATTTATCTCTAAACGCCAAGTACAAGTTAAAAAAAAACCATACATTATCAATAAAAATACAATAAAATTTGAAGTGAAACAAATACAGTGTGTTAATATGAACTGAAGTATTAAATTATGGTGACATACATGCATAATTAATTGTTTAACGAAATTTTGCGAAATATAATGTAACAATATAAAATTGAGAATGGAAATGGGGAATGTGTCAAAGAGACAACAACCCGACCATAGAGCAGACAAGAGCCGAAGGCCACCAATGGGTCTTCAATACAGCGAGAAACTCCCGCACCCGGAGGCGTCCTTCAGCTGGCCCATAAACAAATAAGTATACTAGTTCAGTGATAATGGACGTCATACTAAACTCGAAATTATACACAGGAAACTAAAATTAAAAATGATTCAAGACTAACAAAGGCCAGAGGCTCCTGACTTGGGACAGGCGCAAAAAATGCGGCGGGGTTAAACATGTTTTTTGAGATCTCAACCCTCCCCCTATACCTCTAGCCAATGTAGAAAACATACATTTATCCAGTCAAAGTATATATGTATTATCATTTACCTCTACCAGTTTAATGTTTATTATATAATATACAGGTATGTAATTAAGAAAAAAACAAATTTATCAACATGACAGTAGTGAATATTTCTACTGAAAACATTTACGTCAAGTGAGACATTGGTATATTATCTAGACCTACAAATAACTTAAATTTTACGAAGTTTGATCTACTAATATACTAAGATACAAATATAGTACTTACGGACTGTCAAACGTTTTTTCTGCTCTACAATATTGTATAGGTGGGACGTTCCTCCAGGTTTTGCTCCTTTCGACTAGCATGCCGATATCAATTAATCCAAATCCAAAATATGATGATACTAAATTAAAAATTTCTTTCAAAATGTATCGTATGTTAAAATCATTCAACTTTCTTGCGTCTGTTACACATAAAATCTTAATTGATTATTCTTTTCTTAACAGCCAGTGGACATATGTCAGAGACATTCAGGTAATGGATTTACATATTAGGACACCGGTTAAAAGGATGACTGTGAATAAAGGTTTTAATGGAAAGCGGCTGAACTATTCCGGACCAACAAAGCCTTGTAAGGACCCTCTAAGAGTTACTGCAAGGCTTCTTTAACATGCAGGGAGCGTTACATTCGCCCTAAAATAATATCGGATTTCACTTCCCCAATCTGATTGACAACGTGACTTCCAATTCATTCACCTCACAGAGTCAAGCGGATTTCATTCTAAGTGTAGATTTTATTGTCAAACCGGAGAAGTCTATATGATCATAATTCATTATCCATGTCAAACCATGGGTTTTATAACTACCATATTGAACAATTTGCTCTAAAGTAGTAGATCTGACTTACTTTATAATTAAAAAAGAAGCTTAATATGGCGACATCGTTTTTCATTTTCCCGTTTGTTTATAATGGTTTCTTTGAAACGAAAACGGTACAGTGTTTTATTTATTAGTTAAGAACAGTCTTTTGATAAGCGATAAGCGAAAACCCTTCTAAGGTGTTCTTTAGCTTTGAAGTTGTAAGCAAAGGGACCTGCTTTTTGGGGGAACATTTTGTAAGGGGAGGAGATTGACGGAGTTTTCCCCTACATACATTTTCGGAATATGCACATATTGTTGTTGTTTTCAAAAATGTTATTGCAGTTGATAGTAAATTTGACAAAGACACCAACAAAATATTCTTTGTAGTTCATAGTCAATCTGACGAAAACAGCAACAAACTAGAGGCTCTCAAGAGCCTGTGTCGCTCACCTGTATCTATTCTAGTTTTGGAAATAATGTAAAATAAGGTTAAAATCATAATAAATAGTATTAGGTACCCTAATAATGATCGAGGCCAAGTTTGGTTTTATTTGGCCCAGTAGTTAAATAAAAAGCAGGTCATCCCATTGTAGTCTTACAATAGTTACTGAAGACCCCTTATCATTATTTAAATTAGTTTTCAAGTTGTGACCATTTGAAATTGTTTTTTTATAATTTTCCCATAGACTTCTAAAGTAAACCCCTATGTTCTATTTTCATCCATGGTGGCCATGTTGGTTGGATGGCAGGGTCATCGGATATATTTTTCAATCAAGATAGCCTATTGAAAATTGTGGCTAAGTTTAATTCTATTTGGCCCAGTAGATTAAGTGGAGAAGATGTTTGTAAAAGATTATAAAAATTTAAGAAAAATTGTAAAAACTGACTATAAAAGGCAATAACTCCTTAAGGGGTCAATTGACAATTTTGGTCATTTGTTTTATTTGTAGATCGTTATTTGCTGAACATCATTGCTGTTTACAGTTTATCTCTATCTATAATAATATTCAAGATAATAACCAAAAACTGCAAAATTTCCTTAAAATTACCAATTCAGGGGCAGTAACCTATGAATTGTCTGAAAATTTCAGAGCAGATAGAATTAACCTGATGAACATTTCTACCTTGTCAGATTTGCTCTAAATGCTTTAGTCTCAGAGATATAAGCCAAAAACTGGATTTTACCCCTATGTTCTATTTTTAGCCATGTCAGCCATGTTGGTTGGCTAGCGGGGTCATCGGACACATTTTTCAAACTAGAGACCCCAATAATGATTGTGGCCAAGTTTGGTTAAATTTTTCTCATTAGTTTCAGAAGAGAAGATTTTTGTAAAAGATTACAAAAATTTACGAAAAATTGTTGAAAATTGACTTTAAAGGGCAATCACTCCTTAAGTGGTCATTTGACAATTTTGGTCATTTGACTTATTTTTAGATCTTACTTTGTTAAACATTATTACTGTATACAGTTTATCTCTATCTATAATAATATTCAAGATAATACCCAAAAACTGCAAAATGTTCTTAAAATTACCAATTCAGGGGCAGCAACCCAACAACCAGTTGTCTGATTCGTCTGAAAATTTCAGGGTAGATAGATCTTAACCTGATGAACATATTTATTGCTCTAAATGCTTTAGTTTTAGAGATATAAGCCAAAAACTGCATTTTACCCTTATGTTCTATTTTTAGCCATGTTGGCCATGTTGGTTGGCAGGCGGGGACATCGAACATATTTATTAAACTAGATACCCTAATAATGATTGTGGCCAAGTTTGGTTAAATTTGGCCTAGTAGTTTTAGAGGAGAAAATTTTTGTAAAAGTTAACGGATGTCGGACGACGGACGACGGACGCTAAGTGATGAGAAAAGCTCACTTGGCCCATTGGGCTAGGTGAGCTAAAAAAGTTTTGTAGTTGATAGTAAATCTGACAAAGACACCAACAAAAAAGTTTTTGTAGTTGATAGTACATAGAGTGAATAAACATAATGCTGTACAAGTATAAACTTTCCCGATAAAGTACAAATTCGGTAAAATATAAATACAAGGGTAAACAAAATGAAAACAACAGTGCGAAACACTCTCGAGTCCGAATCGTACCTCTGGACCTTCCTGTTCCTAGCCCAAAGAAAAACAAACCGATAGCTGGATGCGCAAATACCGAGTGATGTCAAACGACCAACAGGAGCATAATAGCATAAAGACAAATAACCGGAAAACTGATAAGTACTAGTAAATAAAAAGATACAGAACTTCAGTACATAAAATCTTTAACTCAAGACTTTCTTGTATAATTTGTAAGGTAGACATTGAATAGATAACACAAAATGTATATTGATACAAATGCATTCCTTCATGAGTCCTGTCATTGTTATCACAAAAATGGATTTTATCCGAAATTTTTACTTTCCAAATAACACAAAACATATATTTAAATTTCAGGTAACATTTCTTTCACAAATCTCTGTATTTACATTCCTTGATATATTTGAGGTTTTGTGTGTTCAGCTAAAATTATTAGTGTAGACAATACCCATGGAGTGTCTGCTTGACAACAAGTTATTTTTGTTAAATATTATGCGTATGCAAAATGCTTACCGTAGATTCCTGCAGCATTTCTAAAGAAATTGGTTCTGTATTGATTTGTAAGATTACTTCTTGACGTCTTTACCAGTAGATGCATAATGTCCCGATAAGTTAAAGCTGAACTGTGAAAAGAAATAAAATGCAATTGAATACATTCTGAAAACGTAATGGATCCAAATGAAAATCCAACAATTCAACTTTTCTATTAATATCTCTTTTAAACACACAATATCACTTTATGGATGTTTTTTGTTTTTGTTATTTATAGTTTTATTTTATGGTTAAGTTAAGTACAGTTAGGTTTTCTCATGTTTTTGTATTTTTATGATGAAACTTTTTTCTTTGTATTGTTTTTCAAATATTGCTATACTAACCAGCTATAGAAAAGAGATGTGAAGTATAAATATCACAACATCTAGTATAACAAACGAAAAGCGATTGAAAAAAATCTCCCATATTTGTGTCCAGCTATAACAACTATAAAGCACCTAATTCAACACAAAATGTAATGCATTTAACAGGGGCCACAAAAGGTTTAACTAAAGTTTAGGGACAGAAATTTTACGATGGTGTGGTATTTGTTAAAAATTTATTCTACTGATGTAAGTAATCCTTCTCCCTTTTATCTGATCTATGGAACAAGCAAACTTCAATAAAAAAATATTTAGAAAAATGCCTTATACGCAAATTTGAAGATCTAACATTGTTGGGGTAAATTTGGGACGAATTATATATATATTATGGTGTAAGGCCTGTATAACCACGAGTTATCCGATGGAGATTAACATTATCATCCTTTACAATAGACAAAATAGCTGATCTGAAAGGTACACCATCTACTTGCCACTATACATCATGTACTGTGTTACAACCCTAGATAAAGCCGACGAGGAAAGGTATTACATCGACCACCGAAAGCTATATTTTTATGTAGCATACGTAGTCGAGTGGTCTAGGGCGCTAGTCATGGTGCAGGCGGTGTTGCCACGATGTCATAGAAGCAAGGATTCGAATCCCGCTGAAGAAAGAACAAAATTTGCTAACGCAAATTTGAGGAACTAACATTGTTGAGCTAAATTTGAGACGAATTATATATATCTCTATATATATATTGAAAAGTTATAAATTTTTTCCACGCTGTGCATAAAATAGGAAAATATAAGGCTGAAAATGCACTAAATATTCATAATCAATATGAATTTTCACATTTGATGTAGTCAGTCTCTACACGAATATTCCACAAAAATACAGAATTAGTTATTGGATAGAAAAATACAAACCCGAACTACCTAACCGAATAGAAAAGGAAGTTATAATTGAAGGACTTCGGTTTATTCTTCAGAATAATTATTTCATGTTCGACACCACATTGTATCGCCAAAAAACAGGCCCTGCAATTGGTACAAAAGTTGCACCTACATATACCAATCTAGTGATGGGATACCTCGAGATCCAGATGTATCGGAGATCACAGCGAAAATTCGGACATTTATTTTATAAATCTTTGATGGAAAATTGGAAAAGATACTTAGATGACTGTTTTATTTTATGGGACAACAGCTTAGATAAGTTAGTGGAATTCAAAGATTTGCTCAATGAAATAAATGAGAACATTCAATTTACTATGGAAAACAATAGTAACAAATTATCATTTTTAGACATTCTTATCATAAAGAACGGAACACACATAGAAACCGGTATTTTCTATAAACCGACTGATTCCACACAATATCTACTTTTTACATCATGTCATCCAAAACTTACGAGAGTAAATATACCATATAACCTAGCTAAACGCATATGTACTACCATTTCAAATCCAGAATTAAGGGATACAAGATTAAATGAATTAAGATACATGCTTTTAGACCGAAAATATCCGAAGAGAATAATTGATGACGGTATAACCAGAGCAAAATCTTTTAGCTTACAGGAATTAAGGAAAACTAAATCACATTCAAAAGAAAACGTTTTACCGTACATTTCAACTCACAACCCCAGAAATAATGATGATGAGAGTTTTTAACGACCTTGACTGGCTATACAGCCCTCGCACGGTCGGCCCTGGCTTGCGCCTTTTTGGGCATTTAAATAATTTGTTTTTACCATAGGGTAATAGAATAATTTGAGTGATAAATATAGAAAAAATTTGAAGTTTAGAATACTTAAAAAATAAATAATTTGATGAGTAAATGAATGAAATAGAACTTAAATAAAATGAAAGAACATAAAAATGAGAATTAAAAAAAAAAAACAAAAACGAAAAAAAACGGAGCCACCAAAATTAGGAATAGGAATAGGAGGAAAGCTAGGCAAAGCAAACGGCAGTGACCGGCAGCAACGTTGTCCTGGTACACCAGCAGCCAAGTAAACAGCAGATACGAGAAATAATGAAGCGTTCAATACTATTCGTTTTTAAATCCGGACACGTTTTTAAAATCAAGAACAGTTTTACATGTGCATCGGAAAACCTTCTATATATCATCCCTTTCAGTGGTCGTCAAGAAAATTATATTGGACAAACCGGCAACACCATTAGAAAACGAATGACAGTACATAGACAGCAAATTCGAGTCCCTAGTACAAGAAAAATCAAACTTAGCGAACATATTGATAGATGCGCTAGATCAAATCATCCAAATTTCTTTATTTTTCCATTTTATCAGTGTTCAGATAATACAACGGAACCAAGAGAATTAATAAAGAAAATTATATCATTAAGAAATACCGTCCTAAATTAAATAGATGAAATGAGAACCCGGAAGGCATTTCTATATAACTATATACTTTCACATTCGTTTTAAGTACCTACGTTGTACTATATTATGATGTTCATGATTAAATAATGATGTCGTTAATAGACGTTACACCTGACGACGTCGCAAGCAACCATATCCATGAATATCTGTGAAACAGTGAAACCGGTAGGAAATTACGGAAACCATTTTAGAACAATTTGATGTCTTAACAGACAAAATGTGAATATTCATATTTAATATAAATACTTAGTGCATTTTCAGCCTTATTTATATACATGATTTATTTACATTGTATCATAGGTCAAATTTATTTGTTCAGTGTATGTTCAATGGTGTTAATATGTCCTTTGATTGAGTTAAGCTATTTCAGTTGATATTTTATAGTGTGTCTTTCTATGTTGTGATGTTACACTATTGTTTCAGAAAAAGGGTGAAGGTTTGGTACCATTAAAACGTTTAAACCCGCTGCATTTGTTTGCACCTGTCCTAAGTCAGGAATCTGCTGTTCAGTAGTTGTCGTTTGTTGATGTGGTTCATAAGTGTTTCTCGTTTCTCGTTTTTTATATAGATTAGACCGTTGGTTTTCCCGTTTGAATGGTTTTACACTAGTAATTTTTGGGGCCCTTTATAGCTTACTGTTCGGTGTGAGCCAAGGCTCCGTGTTGAAGACCGTACTGTGACCTATAATGGTTTACTTTTATAAATTTTGACTTGGATTGAGAGTTGTCTCATTGGCACTCATACCACATCTTCTTATATATTCATAAAATAAATAGTAAAATAAGTAAACAATTTAACAGTTCCAGTTCAATCGAATAGAAAAACAGATGTATCGACAAATATCTGTCCAATACGACCAAAATTACAGTGATTATGTCATTCAGTTTTGGAAAAGATATTTAGATGACTGCATAATATTTTGGAGCAGATTAGAGGAAGATTTATATAAATTTAAAGATCTAATCAACTCCTTACATCCGTCGATTAAATTCTCCATGGAAACCATTGACACTCAACTACCATTTTTGGATATTTTTCATCTTGAAATCAGGCAGACAAATAACGACGGATATTTATTATAAATCCACAGACACCCATCAATACTTAAATTTTCATTCGTGTCATCCGTCCCATACAAAACGAAACATACCTTACTGTATGGCCAGGCGGATTTGTGCTATAGTGTCGGACAATAACATTCGAGACGTACGATTGAACGAATTGAAAGGCTATTTAACACAACAGTTATACCCAGAGGGTCTAATCGAAAGTGGAATACGCAAAGCAAAACAACTGACACTTCAAGAATTACGAACCCCGAAAGTGAAAGACACGGATGAAAACTTAAAGAAAATACCGTTCGTTAGTACACATGACCCGTATTAACCGAACGTTTTTAATACTATTAGATCAAACCTTCCGATTCTACATGAAAGTGAAACCATGAAACAATTGATACCGGAAGGAAACTTGATTTACAGTCGAAGACAACCTAAAAACCTAATGAAACACTTAACCAGAGCTCGATTCGAACCGGAGGTTAGTGACTTTGAAATAAAATCTTCCGGAGATTCAAGATGCGGTGTTTGCGGTCAAGATTTCAAATATTTGGAAACAGGCAAAATGTAAACATTTAAAGATGGAAGAAAATTTCATGTGAACACCAATACGACTTGTAAGACAACAAACCTTATTTACTGCGTCACGTGACCTGGTTGTCACGAACATTATATTGGACAGACCGGGAATAGCCTCTGTGAACGGGTGCGCGTTCATAAAGAACAAATAAAACACCCACAATACAGAAACTCGCCAATTAGTGCCCATCTTGACACTTGTGGTAAAAAACAATTTCAAATAATGTTTATTTTTAAATGTAGACGGGATGAAGCCTATCGAAAGGAGATGGAACGTTATTTCATAACAACGTTCCGATCAAGATTAAATCCCGATAACTTTTAATTATGAACAATGCCGATGTAACAAGCCTCATTAACGACGTCGCCCATTACAACGCTAAATCAGTTATCATGAAGAGTCGCAATGGAGGATGAAATCGATTGAACTGGAACTGTTAACTTGTTTACTTATTTTACTATTTATTTTATGAATATATATATATCTGCACATGTGAAAATTATTTTTTTACTATATATATATATATATAGTAAAAAACTGCTGTTGTCTGTTCTATGGTCGGGTTGTTGTCTCTTTGACACATTCCCCATTTCCATTCTCAATTTTAAGTCTAAATTGAAAACAACGTTCAAACCTATGATTGCGTTGGATAAAAACCGCAAGTTTTATACGTGTGCATGCAAAACAAATTTCTTGTTAGAGGAGTCTAAATACAGCACAAAAAACATTTTTCAAAAGACCAAAAAAGTGAAAAAGTATATTTTAACAAAACGCATTTGACTAACAGGTCAAACAACAAATGTTCTTAAACCCTGCTGACTGCCATTGGCGATTGCAAAATAAACGGATCACAAGGTGTAATAAATGGATCTTAACTATAAATTTAATACCAAACAGAAAACAATAAACTTGCGGCAAAGATGGTATACCGCAAACAAAGGTGCAAAGATTTTTTGTACACCATATCCGGATTTCGACAATTAATATCTCTTCAGTGATGTTAGGAATCGAAACTGTTATTGGAAGGCCCCATAATTTACCTAAATTTAGGATAGACTCTTTAATTTTGAGGAGTATATATATAAATCGACTCGGCTGTGTTGCAGTTGTGACTGAATAGCTGGAATTCGAATCCTGCTGAAGGAACAATATCAATTACAATTGAAAAATTGTAGTACCACTGTCAGAATAAATTCATAACTGAACACGTACATATATGATTAGATAGATATAAGAAGATGTGGTATGAGTGCCAATGAGACAACTCTCCATCCAAGTCACAATTTGTAAAAGTAAACCATTAAAGGTCAAAGTACGGCCTTCAACACGGAGCCTTGGCTCACACCGAACAGCAAGCTATAAAGGGCCCCCAAAATGACTAGTGTAAAACCATTCAAACAGGAAAACCAACAGTCTAATCTATATAAAAAAACAAGAAACGAGAACACTTATGAACCACATCAACAAACGACAACTACTGAACATCAAGTTCCTTTAACAGTCCTTAATTCGGAGAATATATAATAGAATTTCAGAAGAATGTTTAATGGACTAAATATTGTGTGAAAGAATGACCAGTAACATTTTCTTTCCGGATTTTTCTCGTGTGCTCCGGAAGGGTCGGCAGTTTCTTCTCATACTAGTGGCACTCTTCATTTTAATTGTTAGAAGTAAAAATCAGTATATAAGTAGCTTAGAGTAATGTAACAATTGAGGAAAAGCACGGGGTTATGGTTTCGATAATTCAAACATATCCGTTGTCATCTGAAACACAGATATTGTAATGCGGTCAACTAAATCATGATGGTGTCCGTAAAACTGTCGAAAATGTATGAGTTCAACCTAAATATTAAACAAACGTGATAGCTGTCTTAAAATCAGTGTCCCTTATCAAGAAACTCATTATAGCAAACGCAAAGGTATCAACTTGGAGATATACACTCCATACACAAACGCTTCATGTTTACTGCTACACAGAAATGGTAGATTCACAAAAAAGATAATTGAAATCATGCATTGTCGGAAAGATCAGTTCTCAACCGACTCTCACTTTCAATTTCTGAATGTAAGTAAAGATTAAACTCTATCTATGTTATCCCTCATTTCCAGTTCATTGGAATAGATGCAGTCAATATAGTCACACAATTTTGAATTATTCAATGAAAGGGTACTATCTTTATAGAGGAATATGAAGTTAAAAGGTAATTCCAGCTTCTTTTCTTTTTGAATTGAGATACTTCTGTATGATGTTTTCCTAATAAAAATAAAAGAACAACATGGCAACCGAGGGGCTAATTGGTTCACATAGGAATGTCAATTGCCTGTAAAAAAATAAAAATTAAAAAAAACGCCTCCAAACGTAATCAATATTTTGTAAATCATAATATCCAGCATCTTACTCATGTCAGTTTTTATTAACTTTTTTGTAGAAATCAGAGTAATTTTTATACAATATACATGTATGATTTTTCCTTTCCTAAAATAATTATTAAAACATTTTTTATCTGCGTTTGCCATTCTGTTATGGGAACTAAACTGTATATAATTCTTCAGTCTGTCTTAAAAAAGAGGTGGAAGATACAGAAGGGATATTTAAACTCATAAGACGAAAACGAACTGGCAATACAATGGTAAAAAAACGAAAAAACGACCAAAAGACAGACAACAGTGCACAAAACACAACATAGAAGTAACTAAAGGCTGAGCAACACGAACCCCGCCAAAACCGGGTGTAGTCTCAGGTGCTCCGGTGGGATAATCATTTGCTGCTCCAAATGTGGCAGTCGTCATGTTGCTCATGCAAGTACAAATTTGGTGATAAGTCTAATTCTTTAAGTTTGAAACGAGGAATTCTTGTGTAAAGATATAGAGAACTTTTTATACTATTGCACGAAAAGAGGGATTTAGACTTTAGTACTCTTTGAGATCTTTTGATTATTTGAATTTTCAAATGTGCCTCGATATGATATCCAATTTTATGAAACTGTGTTATCAAAAGGATTTCTAGCCTCAAATTGTTTTGCTTGTTTTTTTAAATATCATGATGTAACCATAGGAATATGTAATCAAAAAGTATTTCGGACGAAATTTTTGCTTCAATTGCCTTCTCTGAAATCAATGTATAAATTTATACATTTATTGTATAACTTACGTTATATATCATTAACATTTTACTCAATGTAATTATAAAATTCGTACAAATTAATGATGACAATAAGGCGTTATGTCTTTTATCTTAGAAAGGACTTGTGTATTAACTACTTACTTCGCACTTAAAGCAAGAGCTACAGCACCGGATACCATAGGTGCCGCTGCTGAGTTTTGGTTAAAGTGATCTGTGGTTGTGTTTCCAATATCCGTGGTTATCTTTAAAATGAAATGTTGAATATTATGATCTTTATTATCAAACAAGTAGAATGCTCAGAAAGACTTGAATAAATGTGGATTTATAAGATGATTAAAAGTCACATTGATTGATATGCATAAATTGGCAATACAATTAAATATTTCGTATTGTTTTTATATATGTATAAATTAAGGCGTCAGTAGTTTCCGGTTTTATTATCTCGCAAATCGATTCAGAAGGGACAAATCAAGGTAGCAAACAAAAACTTTTTCGCATTAAAAAATTGTCATTCAACATTTCTGTATAAACGGGAACTATCAGTTACTTACGAAATGTTCGATATCAACTTCGATTTATGTAATGTACAAGTAAAAAAAAATAAAATTCAGAAATCTCAAAGTAATGGACAGCTGACAAGCAGAAATAGCTCTTAACATATAACATAAACGAATGATTAGAGATATGTATATATGAATATAGGTTGCTTAAAAGTCATACTGGATAATGGTATATAAAGTAAGAAACAAGATCAAGTTTATGTGTATATGCTTAGTTACCTACGTCCGTAATTTCATATCCACGTACCAATTAAAAATATCAAATAACATGACATATTTATGCTATTCCTGTACCTATACCTATACTTAATAATAGTATTTATTTAAATACGGTATCTGTTATATTAAACCAATTGCATTCAGTTTCAATTACGGAATTTATGAAATATATCAATAATTTTCCGAAGTGTAGTCTTTGTTTACAGTCAGGTAAATTTTACATCTGCATGATCTATAGTTTGGTTATATTGTGTGAAACTGTTTTTAGGAAGCACGGATTAACACAAAGAGACACGAACGTTGCGGTGGAAGACTACAACGTAAGTTGACAGAATTGATCCCTATATTTTGGTTCAGCTTATTTATCCGGGGACACACATACTAACCATTCATCTTTTACTTTTTTAGTTCAAAATAGTATGAACTGTTCAGACAGCGCATTTCAGAACAATTCTTTTTGGAATATGACTCTGGAACTTATTTATTGGTATTGGTATTGGATTTCTAATTTTGCAAAATGTAGTCAATTTTTCACATTTTAAGACACAAATTGTATCCACATGTATTTATTGTGTACTGTATCGTTTTTTAACGACCCGTCACCCATGGAAAATGACCGGATTATGTTATGCGTAAGCATCAGAATTAGAGAAAAAGGATATGAGGCCGTTTTGAATCACGCAAGTAGTATGAGGTGATGATTATGTTTATCCGAAAAATCTCTTGATATTTAATTTTACCTTTCAATATTTTGTAAATACATGTTGGTATTGTATACTTGTTAGGCATATATATATATATAAATATATATAAAGTCTAAATTGAAAACAACGTTCAAACCTATGATTGCGTTGGATAAAAACCGCAATTTTTATACGTGTGCATGTAAAACAAATTTCTTGGTAGAGGGGTCTAAATACAGCACAAACAACAATTTCCAAAAGACCAAAAAAGTGAAAAAGTCTATTTTAACAAAAATAGACTTTTTCACTTTTTTTGGTCTTTTGGAAATTGTTGTTTGTGCTGTATATATATATATATATATATATATGTAGGACTCTAAAGTGCGATGGGGACGCTAAAGTGCGATGGTCACGCTAAAGTACGATGGTATACGCTAAAGTGCGATGCTTCCATACGCTAAAGTCCGATGGTCCGCAAAAGTATAGACGTAAGAAACGTAGTTTGATTATGACGTTAACAGTCGTTTATACAAACTAAAAATGAACACGCCGGAAGATAAACTACTAATATTTGATTAACAACTGTTAAACCAAAGGTCAATGAATTATTAATAATTAATTTAAACCTAACCGTGCTTTGACGTCTGAAGCAAATGTGTTTTTTTTTCCGGTAGCTGGAAGAAGAACTTGTATCCTACAGTCGACCATTTTACTATTTAGATACAAAATAGTATTCGCATAAATATCCTGTATCGTGCTTTTATTGGAAGCGAACGGATACGTTTAAATCATTGTTTTTGTTGCAGTTTACTTTGCGGTCCCCGTTAAAATATTGTCGCTTTTAAAAGTAACATCGGTAAAATAAAGGTACATGTTTGCATGCGTAAATTATAAATTGTCGGCTAAAATATTAGTTTGTACATTATAGGAAAATATAACATGTATGTGTAGTCGCTACGAAAAAGGAAAAAACTCGGAGAACATCGCCTTTTTCTCTCATTTAAATTAAAGCTTAAACAAATAAATGTTACATATTCCGACAATAATCGAATTTTGTATTTGTAATTTACAATGACGACTGTAAGGGGAGGTGTTCCCATTAATGATAGACTGTGTGAATGGCAAGCTACGCCAATTATCGCAATATTCAATACGCCCGAATTGTTAAAAATTCATTCACAAGAAATATAGTATTTTGTGACACCTAAATAACCTTTTTAGCAATTATTACGTGGTCGGTCTTCTAAATTTAGAAACAATCACTTCAGCCTACCAGTAGATTATAATGCCTATCACATATGGTGTACCTTAGATTACTAGATTTTGCAAAAAGACTATTTTTACATCTTATGTTCTTTAAGTAAACGTTTTTAAAGCCCTCGAACCTTACCCTATTGGTCCATCGCACTTTAGCTTGATATACCACCGTACTTTAGCAAACAAACAACCATCGCACTTTAGCGTAGACCATCGCACTTTAGCGTGACCATCGCACTTTAAAGTACCATCGCACTTTAGAGTCTTATATATATATATATATATATATATATATATATATATATATATGAGTTCGAATCCCGGTGAGGGAAGAACAAAAATTTGCTTCCGCAAATTTGCAGATTTAACATTGTTGTGCTGATATTTAGAGTAATTATGAATATAATATGTGTTTTCAGCCGTGTATCACCTTCACTGGTGATCTAATGGATGGATCTGTCGTAGAGTTGTCACTTGTTTAGACGTACATATATATATTTATTATATTTGCCTTCAGGTTTATATGATCCGTTCATCCTATTTTGACTCTTTCAAAATTCAAGAGTCTATCCTAAATTGAGGTAAATTATATGGCCTTCCAAACACCGTTTCGATTCCTAACATCACAGAAGAGACATTAATTGTCGAAATCCGGATATGGTGTACAAATTTTTGCACCTCATGTTTGCGGTATACCATCTTTTCCGCAAGTTTATTGTTTTCTGTTTGGTAATACATTAATAATAAGATCTATTTTGTAACATCTTGTGATCCGTTTATTTGGCAATTGTCAATGGCTGTCGGCAGGATTTAAGAACATTTGTTGTTCGACCTGTTAGTCAAATGCGTTTTGTTAAAATATACTTTTTCACTTTTTTGGTCTTTTGGAAAATGTTGTTTGTGCTGTATTTAGACCCCTCTAACAAGAAATTTGTTTTGCATGCACACGTATAAAAATTGCGGTTTTTATCCAACACAGTCATAGGTTTGAACGTTGTTTTCAATTTAGACTTGTTTATATTTTTTCGTTTGGGCTTGTATTATATTTGGCTTCGGGTTTATATGATCCGTTCATCCTATTTTGACTCCTCCAAATTCAAGAGTCTATCCTAAATTGAGGTAAATTATATGGCCTTCCAAATACCGTTTCGATTCCTAACATCACTGAAGAGACATTAATTGTCGAAATCCGGATATGGTGTACAAAAATCTTTGCACCTTTTGTTTGCGGTATACCATCTTTGCCGCAAGTTTATTGTTTTCTGTTTGGTATTAATTTATAAATAAGACCCATTTATTACACCTGGTGATCCGTTTATTTGGCAATTGCCAATGGCAGTCGGCAGGGTTTAAGAACATTTGTTGTTCGACCTGTTAGTCAAATGCGTTATGTTAAAATATACTTTTTCACTTTTTTGGTCTTTTGGAAAAAGTTGTATGTGCTGTATTTAGACCCCTCTAACAAGAAATTTGTTTTGCATGCACACGTATACAAATTGCGGTTTTTATCCAACGCAATCATAGGTTTGAACGTTGTTTTCAATTTAGACTTGTTTATATATATATACATATATATATATATATATATATATATTAAGTAATGCATTCAGGGATTTTATTGAAGGGTTTTACACAACAAAGCCTTGTGGGTTTTCATTTTCAATAAATGCGACTAATAAATGTGGTCTCTCAATGCATGCAGATATGATGTATCTCAATTCTCGATAATCCTGTATTACACCATTTACTAAAACAATCTATTCATCCCTCGGACTACAAATATTAGAAATTTATTTCATACTATTTGAAGTATTTGTTTTTCTCAGTCTAAATGGTATAAATATACTTACCACTTTCCCTATATTCTGGGCACCTGCTTTTGCCGTAAAAGCTGTAACCATCATAGCACTACAAGCTTCGCCGTTTGGGAGTTTCTGAAGATCATGCTGAATACCTAGCAAATAGTTATATCACATATCAGGTTATTAAATGTATGATTAAAATAATTTTTACAGAGATACTTGATATGCATTCTCTGGATTCTAATTATATTTTTTTATGTTTCTGATTTAATCATTTGTCTTCCATTATCTATAGTGTTGTCAAATTGAATATTATTATGTAACGTGGTTAATCTTTCAACCGATTAACCGGTTAACCGGTAGGAAAGTTAATGTTCAAAGAAGATTTACCCTCAGGGTGGCTGGGGTAAAGAAATATGGTAACTTTTGGTCTTCTTCTGGCCTGCAGTAAAACTTACGACCTACAGTAAAATATCTGCTAAATGGGGCGTCTTTTTTGCCTGTGAGGGACGTATAAATTCACAGCCAAGTGTCGTCATATTTGGAACATTAAATCCGACGCCTCGCGTATACGGTACTAAGTGTCGCACTCTTGTCGCGTTAAAATCTTGCAGCAACTCTCAGTATATGGCCTGTTGCAAGGCTTAATTTCTGTTCGTATCAAATGTAACCTCATTTCCCAGTAGCATTCTAAATGGCCTCCAAGCCTATAAACCAATACTCCGGGACCTGCCCGTTGAATTAATTGTAATTCTGTTCTCATCCACGAATTTCCACTGGACGTTACGCAAACATTTTAATCGATCAACCAAACTAAGAAATGTATGCGGTACTTTACCACGGAGTACGGTTTAATGATATGATGTATTGAACTTTTTCGTTACATCTTTTCCTTAAACACAATATATAGTTCATGGCTGCGTAGTACTGGAATGACCAGTACACACTAGGTTTGCATTTTACATTTTTGTAATCAGCATTTGGTTTGAAATATGCATTTGGACGTTAATATTAACTCAATATTAAGTTGAAATGAAATGAACAACTAAATCGTACAGTTTGATCAGCTTTTCGTTTTTTGTCATGGAATTATCAGTTTGTTTCCGACTTATGAGTTTCAATATCCCTTTGGTATCTTTCACCTCTCTTTTAAAACTGCTCAATGTCTGTTTTTTACACACCCTTATAAATTATGTTTTCTCAAGATCTTGTCCTAAGCTGATACAAGACAAAGTGTCTCCGTGGTAATTAATTATGTAAAATTGGAATGTATTCATTGGCAAATAAGTCACAAACGTACTGGATAATTGATCTCATTAAGTACCACTATCATCATGTTAAAATATTAGTATAGGGTTTATCTTATTATTTGAATATACATTTGTTATAGAAACGTTTACAATTAAATCGGTCAGATTAACCGGTTAATGATTTCGGTATTCGATATTTGGTACCTTCTGACGGTTTACAGGTTAACCGGTTAATTGTTGACAACACCAGTTATCTATAATCTTATGATAGTTTGTATTATCAACTCTTTCAAATTTTTAATTTGCGCTCGTTAACGATCAAGTCACATGTTGTTTTTTTTTACAAATATAAAAACTTTTCAATGCTCGATATAAGATAAAGTATTCATTATCTAGTGAGTGACTTAAATTAACCGCAGTAACACTAACAAATAAACTCATCCTAGAAACCAGGATTATAATTTTGTACGCCAGACGCGCATTTTATCTACAAAAGACTCATCAGTGACGCTCGAATAAAAAAAAAAGAAAGGCCAAATAAAGTACAAAGTTGAAGATATGAAGAATTTCGAGATGTTTTTACATTTACAGCTAAGGTCATCTATTCCTGGTGTAGAAAATCCTTAGTATTCAAAGGACAGAGACAGACTCTTTTTTTTAAAACTAAACACTGCCACAGTTTCTCATATATGTTATTTTTATGTTTGGTTAAGTTTAAACATTGTTTAAAAATATGTTCAGTAATTTTTAGCTTAGTACCTGCTACAGAAATTACGTATCTATTGGTAACCAGTCTGTCATAAGCACAGCTATCACGGAAAACATCTCTATCATCACCACCACTATTTCCAGTAGCAAAAACATACACAGATCCAAGACCATTTCGACCCTTAACAAAAAAATAAAATAAAACATCCATTTCAATGACAAGGACAGACTACTGTGACTAGAATAAGAACATCAACAACTCTAAATCAAATCAATTAATCCAGATAATAAAATAAGTAAAAGGAAATATTAAAAGGACATAGAATATATGATATACATATTATATAAATTACACGATACCAGAGTAATTTGCAGAGACTTCACAGGATGCTATCTGACTGAGAACGGCTTGGCGTTTACTTTATATCTTCTAACTACCCAGTATATCATTCATTTTTTGGTAGGGTTCGAGCTGCTCAGTATCAAGTTTACTATGAATTGTTTTGTTTGCCTGTTGGTTGTCTTTTCGTCGTTTTATAGTTTGTTTTGCCGTGATGTTTTCTATCAATCTTCGACTTATGAATATTAATTGTCTCTTTGGTACCTTCTGCCTCCTTTTATATCTCGTTTACCTTCAGTTATGATTATGCTGCCATCTTGGAGTAAACAAGACTATCATATTTTTATTTCTTATTATTTTGTGATCAGAAAATTAATTGATACTCTTAAGGATATTAAATAGGTCTGTGTCTTTCTTGCAACAGATTCTCATCCGGCAATGTTTATTAAAGAAAATGTGTTATACAGTTTCCTGATCTATAATTTTTTTTCATATAATAAATAAAGTTGAAAACATACATAAATTGCTGGAAGTGGACAAGAAACGAATGCTCGATAGAGAAAACAATGTTTAACTAGAATTTATGCTAAGCTGTGGATTGAACTCAGCAAATTTTGTCAACTTTGAAATTTCAATTTCTCTTATTGACATTGTGAGCGCACATATAACGGGGGAAAATGCTTTACCCCTGTTAAGTTAATGATTTGTTTTTTATAACATGATTCATTTAAATATTTGAATTTCTTACCTTCTTAAATATCTGAGGGATAGTGTAACATCAATGTATAACCAAAACTAGACAGCTGTATTTGACATACAGTAATTTCATTTATCACAGGCCATTTGCTAATAAACATTATTAATGTTCATAAAGCAGTTCTCGTTTCAAGTATTATTGAGTAATTGTCAAGGAATACAGTTCAACATTTTTTATTGTATTCTTAAGAAATTTATTCACCTGGGTTGTTCCAGATTCTAAGGCACTTTTTTGTTCGTGAAGCAAAGGATAGGTCTTCGTTCCAGTATGGAAGTTGGCAAAACTACAACTGTATATATCTATAACATCATCACGATGTCTCAATAAAGACGCATTGAAATTTTCAAATACGGATGATGATGCTATTTGTACATCTGCAAGACAAAAACCAAATGCATATAATAGACATGTAGTTATTTGTTAATAACAAAAACTAGTTTTATTCCGCGGTATTTTGATTTTCATATCTAAAGTAAAAACCTCACCATCGGCAAAGCGAAATAAAAAAGATACACATAACTAGTATAACAACGATTTTTCATTTGGCGGTTATTGTGTTTAGTTTGGTTAATAGAATTTCCTCTGTGTGTATGTGTGTATGTGTGTGTTTGTGCTAACCGTTCTAATTACTTAGTTAATGATACTGCTTTACAAAAAAGTAACTCTTGTCAAATGACGGGAGACAAAGAATGGAATAGAGCAGATTCATGTAAAAAAAAGACTAAAATTGAGCCTTAAAATAATGAAAACAACACGTTAAATATTTCAAGTGTCCGAAGCGCTTTTCTGGATTTACCTTCATCAGGGACGCTCAAAGCCGAACATTTGAATGTCAAGGATTTATAAGAGCCGAAACAGTTGAAGAGCTATATAACCGAATCTAAAAAAACAGTCAAATCCATCCGAGGTCAACTTTCCCTGAGGGTGTTGAATCCTAAGTTTCTTTATAATTACAAAATTGATAAACGGACAAGTTTAGAAAGTTTGTTATAAATCAGTTCAGTCAGTACCGAAGTACTGACTACTGAGCTGATCATACCATCGGGGACTGATAGTCCACCAGCAGAAGTATCGACCCAGTGCTGTAAAATAATGAAAACAACACGTTAAATATTTCAAGCGTCCGAAGCGCTTTTCTTGATTTACCTTCATCAGGAATGCTCAAATCAAATATTTGAAGGTCAAGAACCAAAACAGTTGAAGAGCTATATAACTAAAAAGGACATAAAAACTGCCAAATCAATCTAAGGTTAACTTTGCCTAAGGGAGTTGGAACCTTAGTATCTTTATAATTACAAAATTTATAAACGGAAAAGTTATAAATCATGTCAGTACCGAAGTCCTGACTACTGAGCTGATGATACCCATCGGGGACTGATAGTTGACCATCAGAGGTATCGATCCAGTGCTGTAAAAAAATTAAAACAACACGTTAAAAATTTCATGCGTCCGAAGCGCTTTTCTGGATTTACCTTCATCGGGAACGCTCAGAGCTCAAAGCTCAAAGCCGAATATTTGAAAGCCAAGGATGTATAAAAACCAAAACAGGTGAAGAGCTATATAACCAAAAAGGATATTACAAAAAACTAGTGGCTCTAAAGAGCCTGTGTCGCTCACCTTGGTCTATGTGCATATCTAACAAAGGACACTCTCCAACATTGTAGACGAGATTAGAAAAAAATCTCTATTTTGTTGATCTTGTATTACTGATCTTTTAGTCTGTTTAGTTTCTCACTATCTTCTTTAGTTTTTGCTCAAAACACAAAAGAGGGTAAAAAAATCCTTATTCAGGAGCATTTTACCCCTATGTTCTATTTTTAGCCATGTCGGCCATGTTGGTTGATGGGCAGGGTCATCGGATACATTTTTTTAACCACATACCCTAAGGATGATTTAGGCCAAGTTTGGTTTAATTTGGCCCAGTAGTTTCAGAGGATAAGATTTTTGTAAAAGATTACAAACATTTAAGAAAAATTGTTAAAAATTTACTTTAAAGGGCAATAACTCGATATGGGGTCAATTGACATGTTGGTCATGTTTGACTTATTTGTAGATCTTACTTTGTTGAACGATTTTGCTGTTTACAGTTTATCTCTATCTATTATAACAAGATAACAACCAAAAACTGCAAAATGTCCTTAAAATTACCAATTCAGGGGCAGCAACCCAACAACGGGTTGTCTGAAGCGTCTGAAAATTTCAGGGCAGATAAATCTTGACCTGATGAACATTTTTACTTCTAAAATATGCTCTAAATGCTTTAGTTTCAGAGATATAAGCCAAAAACTGCATTTTACCCCATGTTCTATTTTTAGCTATGGCGGCCATCGTGGTTGATGGGCGGGGTCATCGGATACATTTTTTAAACTAGATACCCTAAGGATGATTTAGGTGAAGTTTGGTTTTATTTGCCCCTGTAGTTTTAGAGGAGAAGATTTTTGTAAAAGATTACAAAAATTTAAGAAAAATTGTGAAAAATTTACTTTAAAGGGCAATCACTCTTATGGGGCCAATTGACAATTTTGATCATTTAACTTATTTGTAGATATTACTTTGCTGAACAATTTTGCTGTTTACAGTTTATCTCTATCTATTATAATATTCAAGATAATAACCAAAAACTGCAAAATTTCCATAAAATTACCAATTCAGGGGCAGCAATCCAACAACGAGTTTTCTGATGTATCTGAAAATTTCAGGGCAGATATATCTTGACCTGATGAACATTTTACCTCGTCAGATTTGCTCTTAATGCTTTCGTTTCAGAGATATAAGCCAAAAGCTGCATTTTAACCCCATGTTCTATTTTTAGCCATGGCGGCCATCTGGGTTGATAGGCGGGGTCATCGAATACATTTTTTAGATACCCTAAGGATGATTTAGGCCAAGTTTGGTTTTATTTGGCCCAGTAGTTTCGGAGGAGAAGATTTTTGTAAAAGTTAACGGACGACGACGGACGACGACGGACGACGGACGCCAAGTGATGAGAAAAGCTCACTTGGCCCTTTTGGGCGAGGTGAGCTAAAAAACCAAATCCATCCAAGGTCAACTCTGCCTAAGGGAGTTGAAACCTTAGTTTCTTTATAGTTTCAAACTTTATAAACGGACAAGTTCAGAAAGGTTTGTTATAAATTATGACAGTACCGAAGTACTGACTACTGTTCTGATGATATCCTCGGGGACTGATAGTCCCCCAGCAGAGGTATCGACCCAGTACTATAAAAAAAAGTTAGCTTAACTTTAAAAAAAATATCTAAATAAAAATGCATTGAGTGTAAACATTTTGAAGGTTCTCGATTTGGTTACAAATATCCATGTATCAAATTATAACATCATCAATCAACTTACCAGCAATTTGGGCTCCAAATGCAATTCCAATTATACCCATCTGATTCTTCTTCGCTGCCACAATACCGGCTACTCTTGTGCCATGTCTTGAAATGAAATAAAAACAATGCAGTAAATGAATAGATATGCAAACAAAATAGAAAGAAAAGGCAAAAGACGCAAACAAGGAGTCAAAAACCATACAGCACACAAAAGAGGAAAGATTTTTGTTCACTTGTTACATCGCTGCTGGATGAAATGCTCCTGAAAGTTCTAGGTATATGCTATATTTATTTTGAGTTGTCCTATGGTTTTTGGTTATATGCTACTTAGTTATCGCGTATATTTTTTTCTGTTTTTGCTATATCGATATATGAACGAATGGAGGTGGTGTTTGTTTTTCTGGACTTTTTATATGTTTATTAAGGGATTTTTTCTACACATCTTTAAAATAGTCCACTTGTTCATTCAGTAGTTGTCATTTATTTTTGTCTTTCATTCTGGCGATGATGTTATCCTTGTTCGTCTTTGTAGATTTTTGTAACTGTTATGTAGGCCCTTATCGATTTGGACTTATTGAATAGGGACATTTGTCACTCTAAATAACTACAAACCGCCAGTTGATTGAGTGTCATTTTGATCTTATTCTGTGTTGATTTGTTCTCTTGATGAAACAGATGTATTACCATTATCTTTCTTCTATGTCAAATAATATCTTGTTCCTTCGAGTGAGTCGTGAAAATCATAATATTATCTCAAGTTGCATTAACAAATACATTCCAATCTTTTTTATACGTAATGACGTCAGAAAGTTTATTCCAACTTCCTTTTTTTGTCAGCTATTTTTCAATTCAACATCTTCTTATTGTTTAATCCTGGTATATATGATGAGTTTATTTCTAACTGGGATGTGATGATTGAAAAACTTGGACAAATCTTGAAAATCTTTCTATTTAACTTACTTTAATATTTCTTGATATCGACTAGTCTGGCTGTTCCTATAATACCCAAAGCCTTCCTTTTTAAAGAAATTAAAAAGCTATATTAAATATTTCCATAGCAGTTAAGTGTAAGCAATGGTGCGATAAACCGAACATTTCAATCAATGTTTTTCAATTTACAAAAAAAGCTGAATTTCTTTTTTCAATGACAGTACGTATACAAAGTATATAGCAATATTTTAGTAAATAAATATTTTAAATATAAACAAATTGTCTTGATATTTGAGAATGAAAGGACAATTATCTTGGTGTTTAAAAATTGCAAATATGATCAATCTAAGTGCATATTTGGTTTCACGTAAATCTGGACCAAATAAAATGGGAAATAAATATCTCTATTATAAGATAACTTTAGCTGTAGTGGCAAAACCTTTCAGCAGAAAGGTTTTTCAACAGACTGTCGGAATTCCAATGGGAACTAATTGTGCCCCTCTTCTTGTCGACTTGTTTCTTTATTATTATGAGGCTGACTTCATACAGGAACTTCTTAGGAAGAAAGATAAGAAGTTAGCAATATCCTTTAACTCTACGTTCCGCTATATAGATGATGTTCTCTCACTAAATAATACAAAATTTGGTAACTATGTTGATCGAATCTATCCCATCGAACTAGAGATAAAGGATACTACAGATACAGTTAAGTCTGCCTCATATCTTGACTTACATCTAGAAATTGACAATGAGGGTCGGTTGAAAACAAAACTTTACGACAAAAGAGATGATTTCAGCTTCCAAATTGTGAACTTTCCATTTCTATGTAGCAACATTCCAGCAGCGCCTGCATACGGAGTATATATCTCCCAATTGATACGATATTCCCGGGCTTGTGTTTCCTATCATGATTTCCTTGATAGAGGATTGCTGCTCACAAGGAAGCTATTAAACCAAGAGTTCCAAATGGTGAAGTTGAAATCATCCCTTCGTAAATTTTACGGACGCCATCACGAATTGGTTGACCGTTATGGAATAACCATTTCACAGATGATATCGGATATGTTCCTTATGTCGTAACTGCAATACCCTTCCCTTTTCACGAATGTGACTTACCGAATTAGACTATTTACCGGATTTGTAATAACATAAGCAACACGACGGGTGCCACATGTGGAGCAGGATCTGCTTACCCTTCCGGAGCACCTGAGATCACCCCCAGTTTTTGGTGGGGTTCGTGTTGCTTAGTCTTTAGTTTTCTATGTTGTGTCATCTGTACTATTATTTGTCTGTTTGTCTTTTATTTTTGGCCATGGCGTTGTCAGTTTGTTTTCGATCTATGAGTTTGGCTGTCCCTCTGGTATCTTTCGTCCCTCTTTCAGAAGTTTGGGTCCTCAATGCTCGTCAACTTCGTACTTTATTTGGTCTTTTTTTAAATGATTGATTCGAATGTCACTAATGAGTCTTTTGTAGACGAAACGCGCGTCTGGCGTACACAATTTTAATTCTGTTATCTATGATGAGTTTATTATTAAATAGTTAGTTGTTGAACATTCAATTTAAGTTGAACTAATTTGCCAATTTTCTGGTTCATCGCCTAGGCTATACGATCATATAATTTCATGATGGCAAACTTTCAACTTGACTGTAATAACTTTTTAGATAATATAATTCTCTTAAAATCCATATTATTACTTGGAAACAGGAAAGATATATAACAAAGAATCATCATAAAAGTGGACTTTATGTAAAGCACACAATCGTATTTCATTACTCCTACGAAGAGGGAATGTGCCGCTAGAATTTATATATGCACGGATTCAAGATTGTGTCTTCTATCATCAGTATTGAAAAAAAATGATTTAAAATATTTTGGTTTACCTGGATATGTCATGTATGAAAGATGAAAAACATTGTTTTTTTTCCAATATTCATAGTCAGTTAAGGGCATACGATACATAAAACCGAAAAAAATTCTGTTTGATTTTTCCTTTTCTTTGAAACACAATTTGGATACTAGTATGACATATCGAAATATGCAACGAAAAATATACCTCTATGACTTACTTTTCAAAATGATTCTACTGAAATATACATATGTTTCATTTTTCGGTAATTTTCCAAAAAATGACAAAACATTCAAACGAAAAGAGATATTTTTTGGCAAAGTGTTTTTTTAATTTTATAGGCTGAATGCGAATATTGTTTTTCTTTAAATCATGCAATTATTGGTAATTAAAAGCCATAGACAATTATCTCGCCAATAATGCATACAGAAAAAATCTAGCGTTGATTTTTTTCTTTCAATTTCGAAAAAAAAAAATTCTTGAGACAGTACAAAGTCGATTGCAAAAGAAAAAAAAATAGAAGCCATGTGCTAATTGTTTAGCTACAAATAGAAAACCTAGTTTTCCAAAAGCTGGCGATCCCATTTTCCTTTTTTGTCGCTAAATTGCGTCGTAGTGTATTTTTAATGCAACATTGTCGTGCAGTAATACCCATCGTACATCAATACGCTGTACAAAATATTGTCATATACCAATTGATTGACATTAGAAAAGTAAACAGTCTTCACTTGTGATAAGGTATACCACCATCTCTGATTGTAAAATAGTAGTTCGTTCTCAATAGGTATAGTTATTTGCTTAAATCCGCAAATTTTTAGATAGATTGGCAATTAATGGGTTAGACTGTTTATTTGAATAAAAGAAAATAAGTAATTTATTGCATTATTTAGACTGATTTATCAAATACTAAATGTTTATGTTTGTTCGAATCAAATTTAATTCGCCATTTAAGGAGAGATAACTCAAACAGTAAATTTTTTTTATAAAGAAATGATAGAGAAATTTTCAATGTTTACTTGTTGCAAGAAAACAAGGACGGTGACACCATTTTTTCTTTTTATTTTCTTAAATCATATTTTAAAACCTATCTTCTAGTATTTTATTTCAAAATTCTATCTCTTTTATTCACAAAAAAGTGTTTTTTCATGAACAATCTATGCAAATTGGGGCAATTTTGCAGGACTAGTAGCTTGAAAAATTGCACGGTGACCCATACTTTTTATTCTATTTTTGAAAAAAGGATGGAAAAATCTACATTCTGGCAACGTATAAGAAAATTCTATCGGAGGATATATATATACCAATGATCCATCTTATATTTTATGACCAGCAGTAGATTTCAAGTGCTTAAAATACATTATCGTCGTTTTCTTATGCAAATACTTCCAAAATCAAAATAATCCATTTGATGACGTTAGTATTTTTTTCCGCGAATGATCGATGCTTATCCTTAGCAACATTGCGAAAAACACGCATTGAAGTTGGATGTATTATTATCTACCCTTGCGACATATCGTATGCCCTTAAAAGAAAAGAAAATACTCCCTGTTGTAACATATATCTATCAAAGTATTAGTAAGAGAACAACTGAAAATGTAATAAATAAAAACTTAGTACAGTTCTTTTGATTTCAAACTAATGCTTTAACCAATAAAATTTCCCATCTAAATCAAAGAGTAAATCTGAAATGGTACGGCATGTCCTATTGTGCATTCCGCACTGTCTAAGTGACAACTGTAACAATAGTTTATCAAATGAAATACAATATTACAACCAATTACACACTGCAAGTGTAACAAAACCTTTAATGTCTTTGTTAGAAAGAATGTTTGCTTACCCGTGATGGCTGGCGTGTCCTAAAAATGTCCAAAATGTAGAATATTATGCTTCATATGACGAAAGTTACATTTTAGCGCTCAGTTCACCATTTCTGAATTTAAAGGACTACGTCCAATTTCATTGAATAAAGTAACGTTAAATCTTAAGTTGAACTTTAACGGGCAAGTATGTTGTTGTGCAATCAAAACGTTTTGATTAAGTTTTTCACTATCTTACCCAGAATGCACTAGATACTAAAATGTTAATATCATCCACGGTACCTAACCTATCTATATGCATGATAAATACAGCAATTGTGTTACAGAGTTATATCGTTGGTAAATGTATATTGTCTCACTTCATATAAAATATCCTAAATGTTACTTTGTTAGCTTGATAGAAATATAATTGATACTGTACAATTGAATATGTCACGAAATATTTCATTAACTCGTAGGCCTTGTCGTTCTTAAACCACTAATTTTGCCTACCTAGCATTGTATTGATCTTCCCATCTCGGTCTTCTCCTGTTATCAAGATGCCTATTCTAAAAGAACAAATTGTTTGCAACATGATAAAGTAAAACGGACAAAAAAGACATAACACAATGTATCATTTGGAACTTTAAAAAAAACTGTCATACAAGTGGGAGGTTAAGCTAGCTATCAATTCAGGTTTAACGCTCCATTTTCTTCGGAAAATACCTGTACCAAGTCAGTAATATAACGGTTCTTTTTCATTCGTTTCGTTTATTGATTAAGTCTAACGTTTGATTTTGTCAGGTTTTTTTTACTTCTCTTTTGTCATCTTGTAATAGTTTTGTTATTTGGAGATATTGGTGTTGATTGTATATCTTTAAAAGAATCTGTAAAATGTATCCAAACTTTTTCGGAAATAGCTATTGAGAGCTTAGAATAGTGTATAGACACCTTAATAGTGTTATAGTGTTGTAGACTACACGATGACTTTTAAAAGAGTCCCAGTAATTTGTGATATAGTGTTGCTGAGTCTTTGACGAGTTCTTATTTCTAATTTTATTCAAGCGAAAAAAAAGAAGTTACCAACCACTTATAATTATATGATTAGATAAATGTAAAAATAAAATTGATATAGAAGAATGGGATACTCAATTTTCAATCAAGAATGTCAATAAAAAAATAATGACGGTGAAATTTGTTTTTTGTATGTTATATGAATATACTCCAAAGTAACTTCGGTAGAAATTTTGATTGAAAAAAAAACACAAACATATACGGTATTCCAATGTGTACTAGCTGTACAATCTTACTGGCCGACTTGTTTTAATACTCATATGAAGCATTCATCATAAAGAACCTTCTAAACGAAAAAAAGAAAAAAGAACTTTGCAAAGTTCTGTAAATTTATTTTCGGATATATTGATGTATTCTGTCACTCAATAATCAAAATTTCAGTGAGTGCTTGCATCTCATATATCCTAGTGAAATTGACATTCAGGATAAGTTCTGTTTAATATCTTGATCATTTCCTGAATATTGACACACATGGACGACCTCAAACTAGAATCTATGAAAAACGTGATTTCAGCTTTCAAATTGTCAACTTCTTATTTGTCAGTAGTAAATAAACTCATCATAGATACCAGGTTTGAAATTGTGTACGCCAGACGCGCGTTCCGTTTAGAAAAAGACTCATCAGTGACGCTCGAATCCAAAAAGATAAAAAGGCCAAACAAAGTACGAAGTTGAAGAGCTTTGGGGACCAAAAATTAAAAAACGTTTTGCCAAATACAGCAGCTAAGGTAATCTATTCCTGGGGTAGAAAATCCTTAGTATTTCGAAAAATTCAAAGTTTTGTAATTAGTTTATTTAAAATTATGACCATATCAATGATAATTCGTGTCAACAACATACCTTCTGTCCCATAGTATGGACATATACATATTATCTCAATGAAACAATGAATACGTTACGCTCGTCCATGTCCACACTCTCCTTAAGACTTTGACACAAAGACAAATTAGAAATGCAATTTCGAAATTAGCAAATAAACATTTACCTCTATGGTTTACTTTTCGAGATATTTCAACTTAAAATATGCATGTGTTATGTAAAAACACAAAATTTCATTTTTCAGTACTTTTCCGAAATAAAAACAACTTTCAAACGAAAAGAGATATTTCTCCAGGTGTTTTGTAAAGTTTTCCAAAAGCTGGCGATCCCATTTTCTTTTTTTGGACGCTAAATTGCATCGTGATGTATTCTTAATGCAAAACTGTCGTGCAGTAAATCATGTCGTACATCAATACACTGTACGAATTACTTTTCACAAGTTGTGGATGCTTAACCTTAACAACGTTGCGAAAAACACGCATTAAATTTGGATGTATTATTTTCTACCTTTGCGACATATCGACGTATGCCCTTAAAGAATAGAGAATGTTCCCTGTCGTAACATATATTTATCAAAGTATTTGAAAAATCTTTCAAGAAGAGAACAACTGAAAATGTGATAATTTAAAACTTAGTACATTCTATTACTTTTTTAAACTAATGTTTTAACCAATAAAATTTCCCATCTAAATCCAAGAGTAAATCTAAAATGGTAGGCATGTCCTATTGTGCATTTCGCTTTGTCTTAGTGACAACTGTAACAAAAGATTAATAAATTGAAATACAGCATTATAACCAATTAGACTTTGCATGTGTACCCAAACCTTTAATGTCTTTGTTGGAAAGTATGTTTGCTTACCCTTGATGACTGGCGTGTCCTAAAATGTACAAAACGTAGAATAGTATGCTTCATATGACGAAAGTTACATTTTAGCGCTCAGTTCACCATTTCTGAACTTAAAGGACTACGTCCAATTTCATTGAATAAAGTAACGTTAAATCTTAAGTTGAACTTTAACGGGTAAGCATGTTGTTATACAATCATAACGTTTTGATAACGCTTTTTAATTTTTTACCCAGAATGCATCAGATTATGAAAATGCCAATATCATACACGGTACCTAACCTATCTATATGCATGATAAATACAGCAGTTGTGTTACAAAATTATATCGTTAGTAAATGTTCATTGTCGGACCTCATATAAAATATCTCAAATGTTACTTTGTTAGCTTGATAGAAATATAATTGTACAATTGAATATGTCACGAAATATTTCATTAACTCGTAGGCCTTGTCGTTCTTAAACCACTAATTTTGCCTACCTAGCATTGTATTGATCTTCCCATCTCTGTCTTCTCGAAGTATCCAGATACCTATTCTAGAAGAACAAATTGTTTGCAAAACGATAAAGCAAAACAGACAAAAAAAAAAGAGACATAACACAATGTATCATTTAGAACAATAAACAATTTCATACAAGTGGGAAAATGCCTCTACCAGTCAGGAATATGACGGTTGTTTTCCATTCGTTCCGTTTATTGATAAGTCTAACGTATCCTTTTTTTATTTATTATTTTAAAAGAATGAGGCAATAACTTCTTTATTCTTCATAACATTTAAGAAAAAGTAATGCTTTGTGTTATGTTTGCATCGTTTTCTTCATTTTCTATTCAGGAGATTCAGTCCTTTTGTCATCTTGTAATGGCTTTTTTATTTGGAGATATTGGTGTTGATTGTATATCTTTGAAAGAATCTGTAAAATTTATTCAAACTTTTTTTGAAAATAGCTATTGAGAGCTTAGAATTGTGTATAGACACCCAAATAGTGTTGAAGGCTACACAGTGACTTCTAAAAGTGTATGAGTAATTAGTGTTGCTGGCTCTTTGACGAATTCCTATTTCCGGTTCTATTCAAGTGAAAACCATGAAGATACCAACAACTTATAATTATAAGAATAGATAAATGTTAATATAAAATTGAATTAAAAGAAAGGGATACGCGATTTTCAATCAAGAATGTCAATAAAAAAATAACGTTGCAATTTGTTTTCTGTATGTTAGAATATACTCCACGGCAACTTCGGTTGATAATTTTGTAAATTTAAATGAGATAAACTTTGCATATTCATAATTCATAACCTCATAAATATTCAATTCAGAATCACTTCGATAAATAAAACTGCTGAAGTCGTTGAACATTTTTTACTTTTCGATATTCTGACGGAGAACACAGAATTTAACTCACAATGTTTAGGTCACTATGATCCTCAACCCCTTTGTCAACAACACCCACTGTCACTCCAGTACCATCAACACAACTTCTCCATGCTGGCATTACATTCATGTCATATCTATACATTCTGTTCTTTTGCTGAAAGTGATAGGAATCAATTTGAAGTCAGGATCTCGACATTTTCGCAAATGCTCAAATGAAAAATTATTAACATAAGCAAGAGGTAGATCGTCTACTTCAAAAATTAACTTATTTCATCTTTTCCTACCTATTGCAAGTTTTGGAATTCCATTATCTTTTAATGCGATACCCTTAAAAAAGAAGAAATAACATTTCTCTGGCACTGCTAGGCTTATACTCCATGTATAGAGAGGCAAAACATGCCAAGTTGACATTCAAACTCAAAGTCGACAATAAAATGAAAACGCCATGGCTTAAAAGAAAAAGACCAAAAAACAAACGTAATTTACGTGAGTTTTTAAAGTTTGCTAAAATGTTTATCTGTTGTAGTATAAGTTTGAGCATAAGTATTGTCTACTTATATTTTGAATTCCCATGCTATGTTGGAAGTTTTATAAACATCATTGTATCGTTTTGCACCTATTGAGCTATTGATAGTTCACTATACGAGTTGAATTTCCTCTTTGTAACTTCCATTGGTACATCAAGATGTAAACATTTGTAAGATATACATTTCAAGTATGCCACGTGTGTTTGGTTTGGTAATGAGTAAAACAAATTAATCGTTTGTTGAATAATAAAAGTTGTAACCAATAACTCATTGATAAGTGTTATACAACTAACTGTTTTGAGGTAAGTTGCAATCTACTACAAATGTATAAAAACACGTCACAGATACCAGGCGTACAATTTGGTATGCCAAACGAACGTTTCGTGTAAATAAGACTCATCAGCGGTGCGCGAATCAAAACAGTTGGCAAGCCATTTCCAATACGAAATTGAAGAATATTAAAAAAACGAAAATTCCGGAAGATTGTGCAAAATTCGTCTCAGGCAATCTATGCCTTGGGGTTGAAAAATCTTCCTGTTTCGAAGAATTCACCATTCTATAAACAGTAAGTTTACAGAACATGAATATACCAATGATATTTCATTACAACAAAAAACTTTCTGACACAAAAAAAATAGTACACAAGACTATAATGCATTTTTATTGCAGTAAATTTAAAAAAGAATTAGTAGTATACATTGTAAAAATATGTTTACTTCAAGTGATATGCACATACGAAATGAAAAATAATAATCAAGATTTCGATACTCCTTTAGTGTTGGCAAATTGTCACTGAGTACATAATTTCATCTCCAGGGGGTTTGGTGGCTTCGTCTTCCTTAAATCCGTTGTCTATGGTGTTGTATGTCTTTCGTTGAAGTATGATTACTCTCTTGAATTTCTTCCCTTTTTATCTGTTTTTCCTCTTACTCATGTAGCAATAGCACATTTTTAGGCAAGGATAATTTATCTACAGTGATGTTACCAATTTTGGATTCATCCAACTCGGTATTACGACATTTTAATTAAATCATAATATCCAAACGGTTCAATTGAAATGAAAAAAAAAACATGCCAGAACTTTTTTTGTTTCTTATTTGTACACTTACAAGATACCACTGTTTGTTCCATTCTGGATCTACGATACTTATGGTACACTGACATTCTATCAACTACAAAAAAGACGTATTTAGTTGAGGCTATTCCAAATGTATTATAAGCACATTAGATTTATTGATTGATTGATGGGTGGAGATGTTTGACGTTCAGAAGCAAACAATAACGTACAAATTCAGGACGATGACTTGTTGATGGTGAAGATATAAAAAAAGGAGATTTGGTATGATTGCCATAGGACTACCCTACGTTGTACTTAACCAAAACTGTTTAATCAAGCCTGTTTAATGTTTAATAGCTCCCAAATGTAATGGCAAACACATGAAATAGAAAGACATAAAACCTTCCCGGACACATCTTTCGCCTCATTTTTACCAGTTTGTTTCCCCTGAATTCTGAAATGTTAATCGAGAAATATAGCTGCAAATATCAATTTTCTAGTCTCTGGTTTGACCTGACAGGGGATTGAACTTAGACCTCCTGCACTCGAGGTTATCAAACTACCACGAGACCACCGATACGATCCAAACGTTGCGTCAGGAACATCTCATCCAATGGATATACTATTGTATCATATGCATGAATATAACTTACGATTTACATGTACGTCTATCTTTTAAATTGTCTATTTTGTGTTTTCTATGGGGGATATTTATAAATACTGGGCAAGTTAAATAATCTCATAACAAAAATATGAATATTATTCGATATTAAAACAAATGAAATGAAATGAAATGAAATAGAATGAGTTGGATTGATTAATTGCTTGTTGATTGGAGTTTAACGCCACTTTCAACACTAATGGCTATTTCGTAGCGGTCATTTTTTTTGGTAGAGGTAGTCATAGTACTCGGAGAGAATCACCGACCTTCGGCAAGAAAATTGGAGTCGAGCACACCTACCACGTGCGGGTTTCAAACTCACAACCTCGGTGTTGACAGGCTAGTGATACAATAGTTAGACTACTTAGAGCACTCGGCTATTATATATTAATATAGTGTATTCGTATGTATTCGACATTTGTTTCATGTTACACTTTGGTATCCGTCTTAACGTCTTTACATTTGCACGTATCTACACACTGTATTAAGTCCCTTTTAAATACTTAATGCCCCCAACATTTCGAAATTAGTATTTACAATCGGTATTTTCTAAGTTTTCTTTAACTTTTATTTTATATGTTTTGAACTTTCAAACGTTCTTTAGAAACTTTTTAGAAACGTAACTTGTGTTTAAAGGATTAAGTTAATTATGATTCAACATTTTGCATTTTTATATTTTTAAAACATGTATTAGGTAAGATATCAACACTTCTTACCACCAGCAACTTGGTAACCCTGAAAAATATATTTGAAAATGTGTTAAAAAAAACCTTTAGATAAGAAATTATATTACGTTGAATTTCAGGTGAAGTAATAAAGAACTGTATCATAGTGTGATAGAAACATACTTTTTACCGTTTCCAGGAAAAAAATATTTTCCGCATTATAAATAAAAACAAACGCAGATTTTTCGTAACCTTATACAAGTTATATTTCATATAGGACGATAAAGTGCAAATACATAAAATTCACACAAAATTTATAATAAATGTTCAAATAAAATGAACAAAAGCAAAAGTATTTTCATCGTGTGATTTTGTTTTAATCTCGAATGGTACTTAAATAATAAAAACCTTTGTTCGGTAAATATCCCATTCATTAATGAAATATTAAATTGAACTAAAATACGTGTGCACACATAAAATTGTCGTTATACTGTTTCGTTTAGTCATTTTAGGCTTATATATATGAGATTTTTCTCATAAAACACGAGTCGTGCGCAACTTACCAAATGACAATTCTGAATAACTGATTGCAGTTCATCGTTGAAAGAAATAAAATTACCTAAAAAAAAAAAACAAAGACACATGTTAAGACACTGATTAAATTTTAACATTATAAGCAAAATTTTGTATGGGATGATATGAATAAAAATAAAAACGACAAAAAATAATTTTATATTCGAATATCAATGATATGGGATACGGTATACGTCAACAACAAAAAAAGAAACCGAAAGATGTAAAAAAAAAAAAAAAAAAAAAAAAAACACCTATTGTTACATGTTCTGAATTTTTGGTGTTTTACTTAATCAAACATAATGACTACAAAGTCTATGTGTTTACTAAAATATTCTGCAATTTTTTTACCTAGAAAAATAGACTAAAGAAAACACACACATATTCGGTATTTCTAACTGTACAACCCTACTGGCCGACTTGGTTTTATGCTCATATAAATCATGACTGATATAGAACCTTCCAAACGACAAAAAGAAATGGAACTTAGCAAAGTTCTGTACATTCATTTTCAGATATATTGATGGTATCCTGTCACTCAATAATCAACATTTCAGTGAGTGCTTGCATCTCATATATCCAAGCGAAATTGAAATTCAGAATATGACCAAAACTAGAAGTTCTGCTTCTTATCTTGATTATTTCCTCGATATTGACACACGAGGACGACCTCAAACTAGAATCTATGAAAAACGTGATAATTTCAACTTTCCAATTGTCAACTTCCCATTTGTCAGCAGTAACATACCCTTTGTCCCATAATATGGACATATACATATTATCTCAATGAATCAACGAAAGCGTTACGTTCGTCCATATCCACGCTGAACGAACCTCATTAACATATGTTTGCTCCTTCCAAATCAACTGAAATTGATGAAAAACGACTGACATGGACACTACGTAACAGAAGTATTGCGGTCAGCTTCACGAATTGGTTGATCGATGCGTTTGTGTTTCATTAGCGACATGTATTCACAATCTTAGATCTGTGTCTATCAAAATGAGCATCTCAACTATAAATTTACCTATTGTTTCCTATTTCTGATTGTGACATTTTTACTGAATATGGATTTGCATAGGGAATGTGTGTATGTATGAATAGCAGGAGACGCTTACCCTGTAGACGCGTCCGGTCTTGTTTCTTTAGAGTTCATGCCATTCCCTCATTTGTTTTGTTGCCTTGATTTGTATCTTCTAAATGGATTTATGAGATTTGAACATCGGTAAATAAAGGCAACAGTAGTATACCGATGTTCAAAAGTCATAAATCGATTGAGAGAAAACGAATCAGGGTTACAAACTAAAACCGAGGGAAACACATCAACTATAAGAGGAAAACAAAGGAACAACAGGAACACTGAAGTGCAACAAAAACAAACGCCAACATACATAGAAACGAACTATTTGATAACAACTGCCATATTCCTGACTTGGTACAGGACATTTTAAGAAAAAATGGTGGGTTGAACCTGGTTTAATGGCAAGCCAAACCTCCCGCTTATATGACAATGTTAAAAAAAATATCGTTAAAATGACAACACTACATTACAGAAATACTGCAAAAACACACACAAGAACACTCATCACAGAGAAACGCACAAACAAATAATATAATCGTCGACACAACATGCAAACCGCAGAACAACAACGAACATCTTCCATCAACCACATACATCACAGGACATCACAAACAGTGACGCACTTACGTAACGAATATGCAATCTCGAACTTTATACAATTATTTTAACAATACCAGTCCAAACAATTTTCATGACAATAATGGTATTGAAAGGCTATTTTATAATTATTTGGATTACAAACGATAAGACATAACACATTATCCAACTGAATCCATAACAGAAACATCAAAAATAAATACATGAATGTTGGATGTACAAAATACCGAGACACGTCGTATAGCAATGCAAATTCACACTCGGTATAACAGTCATATTCGGGAATAGGTCACGTTCGGCACTTAGCAGACAGACGACATAGATGTTAAACCACAATCTTAGACGTGGTAAAAATGTCATTAGTTAGTTTAGACACAGACACATCGTATAGATCAACCAATTCGTGATGGTGTCTATAAAATTTACGGAGTGTCATTTTTAATCTTTCCTCCTCATAACTCTGTTGGAGCAGTTTCTGCGTAAGGAGCACACTCCTGTATATGAAGTCAGTATAGTGTGAACATGCACGAGCATAACGTATCAATTGAGATATGTAAACTACTTTTGCCTCGAATTTAATTCGAAATTTCAAATTTCCAATAACAACCATTTTACTTTTGGAAAGACGAAATGTCAATTTATATACATCTGAACTGAATCCTTATGTAAGGGATAACCTTGTGTTGCTAAAAAGAGTTGATTAGTCATGTTTTTTTTGTAACAGAATCGGACATGGTATAGAGATTTCCACTACCGCTACGAGAAAATAACGGGAGACAATAAACTTGCTCAGATTCCTGACCTGAATCTTATTTGCCTTAGGTCGTTTGACAGTCATTGACGAGGCGTCGTTAGGAAAGCAATTTATGCAAGAAGAACACCTCAATATTTAGTCCCTGGATAAGAACTTATCCTAACCCCTAGACACTGGACAAATTTTGTCCATGGACAACCAAATTTGTCTAGTGGACAGAAGTTATCCAGTGGATACAGAATATATCCAGTGGATAACTTTATCCAGTATTTTGAACAACCGGGCCCTGGTATCTATAATGAGTTAAAAAACACGGTTAATAAATTACATAGAAGGATATTTTTAGTGCGAAATGTTGAAGAGAATCTTTGAGTTAACATTGGAAAGAAAGGTCGTACTGTTTCATAAGTCTATAAGGTACATAACAAACGTATAATTTGCGAAAAATGCTAAACACAGCCTACATCTTGTTGAACATTCCAACTGTATAGCAAACATATATATGAAAACAAATGATATCAGCTTTTTCGCATAAAAATCGGACATGACCGACAATTTTTCCATATTCGAAGAAAATTCCCTCCCTGCATGGCTATAGTTTGTATTGTATTTGAGCAATTTAGGTCATCATTAAAACTCGAAAATAACTTAACATTTTTTATAATATATAACATTTAAGGTTATTTATAAGTTAAATATATTAAAATGTATTTTACAATATCAGTTGCAACTCAAATATGAAGCTTTTTCATGGGACTAATTGAATGAGCATACAAAATAGAAATGCCCAATATAGCCAATGTAGAGCAATACATTTTGTCGCAGTTAATTCCCTTTGCATTTTTAATTTTTGATAAGAAGCGCTACCATTTTTATTTTTATTAGTTACATAACACCTAATAAATATCATCCTATTTAATTAAATTCTAGATAACTGCTTAATACCAAATGAATATCTCTAATACATTGGTGTAGTAGATCAACTTTATTACCCCATAGGCCAATTTTTATTCGTATTTTAGAAATAGTTATTTTTAATTGATATGGCTTAATGGTATGGTCAGAGAGCAAACCAAGGCCTTGTATAATGAATTACAAAAAACAGTTTAATAAAATTTGCCATGATATATCTCATTTCAGAAGATTGCGGGAAATGATATATACATCAAGTTGTAACTTATAAGAAAATGTAACAGAATTAGAAGATGAATCAAACTGATTTTATTAAATTCTCTACATACACCAAATCATCGTTAAGTATTTGAAAATGTAACATGTTTATAGAAGGAAAAGGGACAGGTATGCATTGACGGTATATTGAAATGTTTTTTCTCTATGATTCTACGTTTTTTCAGGTATCCGAAATTCGATAAATTTCATTGTAAATTTCTATAAAACTAAAGGATGACGATTTAAAATGCAATCAAAATCATCAGTCATAAAGAATTCACAAAGAAACACAAAGACAAAAAAAATGCTGCAGGCAACAAAACACTACATTAAAAACTAAATATTGATAATTAAGTTATTAATACAATAAATTGATATTTTGAAGTAGTTTCTCGTGATATAGATAATAAATAACCTCATCAACTCTATTCCAAATGTAGTAAAATTCAATTTCAGAGTCCTTTACCGTTTACAGTTTTGTAAAGCATAAAACAGGTCCTGATCATTGAAAATATATTTATATATTATAATAAAATCGGTTGCATCGGATTGAAAAGATTCAATTACGCATATTTGAAGAAACATCTGAAAATAAAACTATTTAGTACCAACACCGTTTCAATTTAAATTATTTTAAAAAGAAATAGATATTTAAAAGTACGGTTGGTCAATCTATTATAAATGTACTTACTTGTCAGAAGACACTTCGGATATGAACATTCGAATAACTGATTTTATACAACTCTACTCTCAAGTGTTCCGGGTATGAACCCACGTATGAGCGCCACGAATACTTCAAACTAATTAATTGATCAAGTGTTCTTATAACCAGTTTATACATACACACAGAGTAAAAGTGTGCGTTATTACAACGAAAAGTCAATGAAAACAGTATCTTGGTAACACATATTACTATTATTAGTTTATAAACAATTTAACTCGTCGTATAAAGATAAGAAGATGTGGTATGATTGCCAATGAGACAACTCTTCACAAGAGACCAAATGACACAGAAATTACCAACTATAGGTCACCGTACGGCCTTCAACAATGAGTAAAACCTATACCGTAAAGTCAGCTATAAAAAGCCCCGAAATGACAAATGTAAAACAATTCAAACGAGAAAACTAACGGCCTGATTAATGTACAAAATAATGAACGAAAAACAATTATGATATACAGCAACAAACGACAACCACTGAATTACAGGCTCTTGACTTGGGACAGGAACATACAGAATGTGGCGGGGTTACACTAGTTTGAAGGCGCCAACCCTCCCCTAACCTGAGACAGTGGGGTAACAGTACAACATAAAAACATATATAAAAATCTATTGAAAAGGGCTTAACTCATCAGATGGATACAAAGCAGAAATATATCTAACAAAAGCACAGATTGGACGTGGCATGGTACTTATATATCCCAATCACAAAAAAACACTAAGTACAGATCTGAGAGTACTCGCAGTTACTGACAGCTAGTTCAAGGCCAATAACAACTAATAAAAATATCATGCATCTAAGACTTAAATATCAATCAGTACACATCCAAAATCCAATGGATTTAGTCTAAAGACGCCATTAACAGTCAGAGAAAAACATGACCTTGTGCAATGCCAAGATACAGGTATCGACAGATTGTAGAGCCATGACTGTGCATATGTATATAAAAACAATATTTAGTTTGATTTTAATTTACTGATAACAAAATCAATATTAATACCAATAAAAAACAATATTCAAAGATCTAATTGTATATTGTTGAATTAGTAACCTTTTAGAATAAGTTTATTTAAAGGATCGATAAGTTTACCCGGATCGTATCTAAATTTCTGGGCTCGGTACACAACATCTCCGTAAAATTTAGGATGTGCTATCCCGTTTGAAATAAGTTTTCTAAAGGTATAAGGGTTACCAAACTTCCAAACCAAATCTTTATATCAATGGAAGAATTTAGTAAAGGTTTTAAGTAATTTGTGTGAACGAAATCCCTGACTTAATAATTTACCAGTAATACATGGATTACGTTCATTGAAATCCAAAACGTCACAACAGACACGGGCATAGCGAACAAGTCTTCTCCCAGTTTAATTAAAGCAAGCAGAATTAGCCCCCAAGTAAAATATATTCATGAAGATTCTTCTGCCCGGTACAATGCATATCACTATAGTATTTGAGTGGAAATGTTATGTAGATGATAGAGTTGATTATACGAGTCTACATACGAATACAAGCAAAAACATGAATAGAGTGAGAAAAAGTTGAATAAAATAATGATGAGATGACCTTTTTGTAGTAGAAAATAAATCTGTATTACAATACAAATATATTCCGATTGCATTTCGTATCTTCTCGTCCCTTTTTGAAACGTAAGGGAAATAGATGTCGCTTTAATGTCAAAATATATTATGCTTGATTGATTGATTGATTGGTGTTTAACGCCACTTTCAACACTATTGTGCTATTTCGTGGCGGTCAGTTTTTATTGGTGGAGGAATCCGGAGTGCCCGAAGAGAATTACCGACCTTTGGTAGAAAATGAAAATATATTATGATGTTTCAGTACTCTGTCATGACCATATGCAACAATTGTTCAACTACGTGTATCAGCAAAAAATAGAATCAAATGATATTGTTTAAGCTACTCATAACTTGTTTAGAATTGATCGATTTTGATAAATTTATATGAATTAAAAAAACACCTTAAAGTTGTATATATCGACTTTAATTTTCCTATCCCATTATAATCAAAGGTTCGCCTGACATGAACTCATGACGTCCTATACGTTTGAAAGGTTTCCCGTATTTTAATTTTGACGCATGTAACCAACCATTAATCTTTTAAACTGATCGAACTTCATGATTTTCTGCAATGTATTTTGAGTCTACTGTTAGTCGAACTTGCGTACAGCAAATACTTCCGTCACATTGAATGGACTTTCCGGAATTTCAAGAAAGAGGCGAAAGATACTAGGGGAACATTCAGAGGCGTACATCGAAGAGAAACTGACAACGCCATGGCAAAAGTCGAATGACTACGAAAAGACAAACAATTTCACAGAACACTACCAAGAAAACCAAAAACTGAGGGCAATCTCAGTTTCTCCGGAACAGTAAGCAGATCTTTCACCACTAATTGTCATCCGTCATGTTGTTCATGGATAGTATCAGTTCGTTGATAAGTCTCATTCGGTAATGTCACAATCGAGGAAAATTTAAGCTTACGATTAGGGAAAAAATTAATGTCTGGATAGTTAGGTGATTGTACACACAAACCACCAACATAGATGAAAAGGTACCTTTTTTAGTCGATTCATGTGTATGATTTTATGGAAAAATGGTGCATAAAGTGTGTTGGAGGCGAGAAGATGTTCGAAGTTGAAATAAGAACATTCTTGGCTTGTGGGGGGAGAGGAGGTCAGCACGTATAACTGCTGTTATAGAGAAAATCCATTAAATAAGCGTCAATAAGTTTAATATAAAAAAAATACTACACAATTTTCAGCACCGGAAAAGAAAAAGAAGGGTCCATGCCAAAAGTGTCTGTTATAACGGTCAACTTAAAAAAAAATATGTATTTCAAAGTTGTTCTTTTAACCGATTAGATATAAATTTTATATGCACGTTCCAGATATTTCGTGACCTCTAATACTTTTCAAAGTATTTAATGGTAGGAGCTCTTTTCTGTCATTAACCTAGTATAAAGAAAAGGAAGCAAGTAGGAAAAAACATCTCCAGATATCCTGTCATATTGGCTATTGTATGAAGTAGGTACACTTCATAAATCTTATTCCTGGTATAAACTGGGATTTTACAAAATGGCAAAAATTATCTGTTAGTATAGTTTTAAATTTGATCCATTTTAACTGACTCTTGTTGAAAATTATATATATAAATATCTTTGCATTACGTAGTAGAGTATTTGTATTTCCCAAATGCCTAATAATTGATGATTATGTTAATGATTTTGACGCATATCATACTTTTGTAGCTATTGTAACTATTAATTGCAAACCTCTAACGAGAATAGTTTTAAGTTTCTATTAATATGCCCATTTTAAAATGCAAATATCGATTTGTAAGTTTGATTAACCTTATACTTACAGTACAAAAGTTATGCACCGGATACGAAGCGGGATGGACGGACAGGATACGAAGCGGGATGGACGGACAGTCAGACGGACATGGTGATTCCTATATACCACCCAAAACTTTGTTTGCGGGGGGGGGGGGGGGGTATAGATATGAATGGATATAGAAACAAATAAATTTGAACAAATTAAGTAACACATAAGTATGAATAAATTGAGTAACAAATACATATGAATAAAATAGTAACATATAAGTATTATTATTATATATAATTAAAGGGGCATTAAATTCATGTTCACCGATTTGACTCAAATTCTCATATTTGATTTATAATATACTAAAACGTATATCCAAATTACAAAAAGTCATAAATAAACAATAAACAATGCATGGAATCGATAATATCATGTATCAGCATTTCGTGTGTATTTTAGTCTAGAAGCCATCTAATTAACTATCGAGTTGGCCTCCAAAGACTTCCGACGGTCGTATAACCCGATATAATCATATATATATAAATAGATATCGAGCACGTTCTATTGAATTTTTCTAGGTCTGTTGGGTTTCATGTTATAGGTTAGAAAATATGTTAATCACCGTTTTTACCCGTCTAAGAATGATTTTTTGAGGATTGAATCAGTTCACCATTGTTTCACTTTCAATGTTAATATTCTTTTCCTTTAAATATCTGAACACACTTAGTACATGCGTAACCAATCTCCAGCTAAGGGATTAAACCAAAGGTCACATATGCATACGGATTCAAAGAGGTTAACACGTGAATAATACATCAGCGATGCTTTTGAGCTTACTTTGACAAATTTGGGCCAAAGTGACTGATTGTAACAGAACATTATTTCAAAATTCCGCTTTTATTAATACTTGAAACAAAAAGAATCGTATTTTATTTTTTTTCTCTAAATCGAAGCTAATGCCCCTTTAACATATAGGTATTAATACATAAAAGTAACCAAAAAAGTATGAATACATTGAGTAACACAATAGTAAAGATTTACGAGAGGGTAAGAATGGAGATTTATTTAAAGAAATCTCAAGTGGTAATTCATGGAATAAGTAATTCGCAAAATAATTTTCACGATTCTTAAATGTTTAGATGATTATAGACAATAACAGATATGTTTAAACAGTGAAATAATTAGAACTGACTCATATCCGTATTTCCAGTTATAATGATCTATAATTGACAGGATGTTAAACAGTTCGCTTCTACTTTACTTAAATTCTGGTTTGACAATAGGTTTTCCAATAGTTTCTTCTGTCGTTTTTCTTTGAAATAAATAGAGCATATATAGTACTTTTGGTTGAACACCATCGAATAGAGTGATTAATATAACTAACTAAAGTAATTCTGAGCAGTAAGTTTCACCACACTGTTAACAGTCACAACTCTATTTGAAATGTTCACATTCATTACTAGTTTAAGCATGAAAGTGATAACTGTTTGTTAAATTGTACTCCGGAAATAATTAATATGAATTAGAACATATGTCAAAGAAAACAAGATTTTTGTAAAGCAAAACTTTTATTACCATAGACAGAAACGATGCAATGGATATATTGGTATAGTAAATTGATTAATTAATAGTAATTGAAATTTAAATCGCTCATTAAAAGTGTAGTCTTAAGTACTTACA